GTTACGCTATGCGCCCTATACTACTCATAATGTGGACAGCATTCCAAAGTTTCATACTGCGATATAATAATAACCTTGAAAGAGGTTGAGCAAAATATAAAAGAGCTTGTAGGAGACAAGTATAGATCAATTATGCGCCAAATGCAAAAGATAATCCTGTCTAGTTCACTACACATTGCTAGAATGTAGCTGAGCGGTTAGATATCTAGAGGATTTTTGGACACCCATTTTAACAGATACTAATTCCTGTACATTATCAAACTTTTATTAACATACCTTAGACTTTCTCATATTTAATGGACAGCTATATGATCGATGGTTTTTTAACAACATTTTCATTTTATAATTAAGACGTCCGTAAAGCTTGTAGGATTTTTTATTTTTTTATTTTGTTATGACACTTTTATCTTTATTTTTACCCAGGCTTATTATTGTGTAATTGTTACTACAAACTTTAGTCGACGCTGCGGCAGGTTACGGTTTGCCGCCCAGCCAAAGCTTTTATTGTTTACTCTGGGCATCCAGACTTTTGTACTGCCATAATAATAATAATAATAATAATAATAATAATAATAATAATAATAATAAGAAGAAGAAGAAGAAGAATAACAATAATGGAAACTTTATTTGTGTCTTTGAATGTACTATTGTAAATCTCGCTACGTATAGGCAAATTTACAAATGTTGCTTGAGATTGGATTATTAAAAAGAAAACAACAACAACAACAACAACAACAACAAAATCAAAATTGCATTAAGTCTGGGCTATCCCAGTTCCTATTTCTACAACAAAAAATGTAATACGTCGCTCTAAGTTTCTGCTTTTTGTCACTGCCAATGTCATCCATCATGTCTAAGAACGTGGAACATTCATCGGAGAAAACGCCAAGGGAACTCATGGAGAGATTTACAAATCTCACACATATGTATACGTAATTTCTACTCATTTCGCTGATCAAGTTCAGATATTTTTCTTTCTTACGCATTGCATTGTTAGACTCCAAACCAACTCGGTTAATTCGAGAACATATAGGCACTTGGACTAGATTAGGAAAAGAAGATCTGGACGATAATTTTATTATCAACATCTGCATAGAGTGAAGAGTGAACATTAATTACAGGTTGAAGTGACTTGGCAATGAAATTAAGGATTGAGTTGTGTCTCCAGCGACAACATGAAAGAGTGACTTAGGATTAAGGCAAAAGGAGCAATCAGGACTTTGTGATAATCCCCATCTTGCCATATTCTTACGTGTAGGGAGGGAGTTGTTGATGTAGCGGATGGTAAAATTGTAAATGTTCTTGGGTAGATGAGACTGGGCCTCTGACCAAATAGAATTTACAGGTGACAAAGAGTACTTGAAAACATTTGAGAAGAAGAAACCTTGAGATGTTTGGTGGTGTTGCAGTTTATCCTCTTGATTAGAACGGAAATCTTTAAGAACTTCCTTAGTGGATTTGTACACATCATAATGAATATTAGTGTGACAGCTTGATAATAATAATAATAATAATAATAATAATATTAATAATAATAATAGTAATAGCATTTATTTAAACACGATTAAAAAAATCAACAAGGCTAATGTGGTCGAATGCATAACAATAAAATTAAACTTCCTAACTAATCACAATAAGACTAGTTAGAATTCTACGTATTTACAACAATAAAAATTCTACACAGTACATCATTATAATATATGTGGCTTAAAAACACACTTGAGTGGCTTTTTAAAAGCGTCAATGTCATGAATTGATCTCATTTGGTTTTCTAGGGCATTCCACCGAATAACTGAATTTTATGAGCATGATTTCTTGCCCATATCGGCCTTAGCCCTGAGTAACTTAAAGGCCATTTTCCTCCTGTGATCGTTGCTACTTAAATACTTTTTAAAAAGACAAATCATAGGACATGGTAAAAGATGATAATAAGCCTGATGCGCTAAAATTAGTAATCGTTTCTCATACATAATCTCTAAGGTATTATATTTTGCTGTGGTAAGAACCTCCTTGCACGGCGTACACCAATCTAAGTTAAATATTATTTTTGCCGCTCTGACATGTATAGATTCTAGGTTTGAGAAAAATACTTGACAACATAAGCCCCAAACTAACATACCATACCTAACAGAGGGAAAATAACCCCAAAATAGAAATCACCCGTCTAGGCAGAAAGTACAATGATTTAAGTACGTTGCAGTCATTGTTTCAATTGAATTCCCACAAGTGCAGCACATCGATTTAAGTGATCATGAATTAATTCATGTTTTGAAAACTGTTTCCATTTGACTAGTGAACACTAACACATATCAACGACTTTTGTACTTTTGTGTTCAGTCACTTTTTGATTGCAAGGGTGTCCCCTGAATGGAGGTTAATTAAACCCAGGTTTCCAACCTCGTCCCCAGGGCTTTTTCCTTAAAAAATGGGTTTTAAGGGAAAAGCCCTGGGAACGAGGTTGCCAGGTTTCGGGACCAAATAGAGTGTTTTGACATGACGTCACGGCGGCCATATTGGTGTCCCAAAACAATGAAACGGCGGCCGTGTTGGTGTCCCAAACCAATCCTCTGGGAGTCAGTGAACTCTTTTCTTATGCAAACGCTTTCTTTTGTTCAAATTTGCATAGATGCTGGCCACGTGAGTGAAAACACTCTATTGGGGTAAAAATACAAAGATTATGTGAACATTTTCCGGGACCGAATTTTGTGCCCCCTGAATGGATCGAAGATGTTCCTTGAATAGAGGTGTCCCAAAGGAGAGGTTCCAATGTACTTAGAAAGGTATTTTCTTTAATCAAGTGATCCAGTTGTCTTGAAGGACAATTACGATGTTACTAGTTTTTTCCCTTCTCCTTCCTTTTTTTTTCAACCACGTGACAAAAGTTATTATTTATTCATTCACTTACTTTTATTCTTTTTCGGGGTCTCTCTTTAGAGTAGTCTGAAAATTTTCTTTTTTGGCAATTAAATAGATAGAGCAAACTTTAAAAACTATTGCAAGGAATACTGATCCTACATGTAAGTAGATAAATAGAAAAACGGTCACTGTCGGTTCTGCTGTTTTGGCCATTCTTAGAAAGAACAAAAAATAAAACAATCAGATATAATCAAATTCCTGAATAGGCTTGCAGTGTCTGATGATATAAATATCTGTAAAAGTCATGAAAAGCAGGTGTTTTAAGTGTAGGTAAAATAAATTTGCCCATATCAGTAAAATAATTCAATGTGAGAATCCTTGCAACAAGCAAGGATCGACTACAGTGACAAATCAAACTTCAGGTTTCAAGCTACAGCTATGAGATGCTTTCTAGTTTTGGTAAGTATATAAACGGTGAATTGGTTGTATTCATTTTACGTACTTACTAAAATTCGGTCGGCGTGAGTAACAACCAATACTAATGAAATTTTATTATTTTAAACGCACTTTTGTTTAACCATGCTTTGCTTCCATTTATATTTAGTACTTCATCATAAGTGAGTTATAGCGAGAGATATTTCGGCCGATTCATCTACTTTTTGGCCCATTTATTTAATCGTGCCGTGCAAAGTTTTACTTTCTTTTGTACACCTTTATAGTCTCTAATCCTGCTATATAATTAGTTAATATTAGTTGATCTATTGTTCGGGCTGCGTCTATATTCCTAAGACCCATTGAAATAATAAACCTTTTTGCGAACCGGTATGGCGAGTAAAAAAGATGATTACCAGTTTGGAAAATTTAAAAGCATAAAAGGCAATTTTGGAGAATTGTGTGTACGATTAAACAACTTTCTAAACAAGGAAATTCTGGGTGAGAAGTTGTCTTAACTGTAGACCTACTAATGAAACAACATGTGTTTGTTCAAATGGTATTGAACAATTTGCAATTTCATAGAAAAAAATTCTCTACTGCCTTGTTAACTAAAGGAACATTGAGAATAAACTTTTCGAATGATAAATTTGAAATAAACCATCCAGATACAGCCGAGAGAAGAGTATAACGAAACAGCCATTCAGACATATTTTAATTTTTAATCTTTTATTATTTTTCTTTTCATTCAGAACATTGGCCGAAAAATTCCCGTCTTCCTTCAAACCAAAGAGTAGCCCAGGGACTTTAGAGGGAAATGTCGGGAAAATCACACGTGGTCGGTGATTTAACGGTGCAGATTTCCGTCTATTGAAAATCTCGAAATCGCAGATATCCCGATTGTTTGGGATAGTCTGGGATAGATCGGTTGCTGGGAGGGAAGCGTTAAATTTACTTTCTGCGAAGCTCGGTGATCGTTCCCGACAGTGATTGTGAATCGATGAGCGGTCGCTTAGCTCCGTCCTAGCCTCCAACTGTTAAATCAAAATGCATAGTGTCTGGAATAGATTTTTCGGACATATACAATCTAGAAAGATTGTATAGAAAGACCATGCCACATACGATTTTCAGTTCCATCATCGACTTCCAAGACATTGTAACGACATTGTTATATTTATTTATTTATTTATTTATTTCCATCCCTGCAGGAGTTAATAGCTCTAATTTATATATTTGTTCTTCGCATCGCCTACGTCGCACAGACAGCCCTACCATCGCAGGATTTAAGTAAGTAACTGTGCTTACGAGTGATATTATTCATGATCCACTCCATATTTGCACGCACGAACTGAGAATTAAAGGAGAAAACAAAGTCATCATGGAACATCTTTCTATATTTTCATATACATGAGATGAATACCTCTTGCATTTATGAATTGACCCTTAGGGGCCTTTGGTCCTTAAGACACAAACTTTAAAAACGAGAAACAAAAACTGTGCACGAATCTCGTTTTTTATATGTTTGACACATGGAACACCCTCTTTACCCTTAACCTTTCGGATCATTAAACGTTTCTAGGAAACTGCACGCCTGCTCCTCTCCTAAGCCAACATTAACACTTACTTCTCACTTAGGGCAAAATGTTGGCTTAGGGGAGGGGTAGGTGGGCAGTTTCCTAGAAACGAATAATGGTCCAACCTTTCAATTTTCAGCAGGGACAGCTGGTTTTGCTCGTTGGTCTGATGGATATTACTATCGAGGCCAAATCATATCCAGTGGTGAATCAGATCAGATGGTTTTTCGTAGTGTTCGGGAATATGATGTAAGCTTTTCACCAAGCGATTGGCAAGCGTTCGTTCCTGATGTTACACCAGTCCGAAAGAGTACACCATCAAGTTCCAGAGTAATTACCCCTATATTTACAAATAAGTATCAAGCTGGGACGATTGTCTTCATAAATGCGTCTTCTTTCACTTACAAAGTCCGTCATGACGATGGCGGAGGAGAGTCCCATTTTAATTTAACTGATCTAAGACTAATGCACCCAGGTTTTGCAGGTACGTACTGACAATGTAAACGTTAAACATCATTGAACACATGCACTGACGGCCTTTTCATAACTACCATGCCAAATGGGCTGCCTGCAGCTTTTCGCGGCAATTTTTAGCAACGAAGATCTTAGCATGAATAAATTCAGAGTATGCACAGGGTCGCCAGTTTAACAGCAATGAAATTAGTTGAGTATTCAAATACTGGTTGAGGGCTTATCGAAATCAATTTTTAATTTAACTTATAAAGTAGATTCTAGATCATAAAAAGATGAATAAATAGATGATGAGAAGCGTTTAAATCTACAACGAAGAAAATAACGAGATGATTTTGAGGCGCGCATTCCATTACAATAGACCTTTTTAGTGATACGGCGGCCATATTGAATTAACTCGATTAAAGGAATATTATAGAATGCCCAGGGGACATGAACAAGATCCGTTGTACTCGCTTAGTATTAGAAATATGGTGTTTCACTGTATATTTCTCGGGAAAAAGGCGATCATTATTACATCCTAACAAGGCACAGCGATCTTTTTTCCCATTCTACAGTCTTATTCTAAGAGAATTTTAAGAAAAAATGCCCCGAAAGGCCCTCGCAAATACTTTAATAACGGTATGTGCTAATCCCCCCCCGGCAATCCATAATACTCCTTAAATCTAACCTATTCAATATGGCCGCCGCATCGGTAAAAAGGTCTATTAGAAGGCTGACATTACAGTCCTAAACAAAGGACAAAATATATCCGCTGACTTTGCTTCTGGTTTCTAAGCTAAGATGAAGAGGTAGTACTTGACTTTGTGCAGCAAAATTTTTGAAACCGACGATCCAGCAGAACACGTATATGTATTAATTTATATGTTACATAAAGTTTAATCTGAGATGAACTTCATGAGCATTCATTGGGCAATTTCCAAAAATTGTAAAATGTAAAATGTTACAAGGGTGCTAATGGAGTGAACAGGGAAAACGAGCTATGCCCCGGAATATGGAATATCTATAATCTGGAATGTGTGGACAGTGTTACATTAAACTGTTCCGGCTATATTTTGCGTTTCTTTTTCGTCGAATTATTTACAGTTGATATTTTTTTAAATTAACTAACTGCAATTAAAAATCCTTCAAATTTGGTAAGCGCTAGTTGATTATGAAGAATTAGCAAGGGGATTTAGCCAGTTAGAAACGGAAAAATTTTTTTGAATAATAACTTAAATTATCATCGGTATAATCATTATTATAATTATAAGTATTTTAATACAATTAAAATGGCTTCTTTCCCGGCAGAGTTCGGACATGATTGCTTGGATTTACTTTACAAAGGATACACCCAAAATGGCTTTTATTACATCTATCCGGATGGTGCCAGCTTCATAAAAGCCTTCTGTGACCAGGAAACTAACGGTGGGGGGTGGACTGTCTTCCAACGGCGATTCGATGGCTCACTGGATTTTTTCCGTGACTGGAACAGTTATAAAGAGGGATTTGGAGACTTTGGTTCCGAGTTCTGGCTTGGAAACGATAATATCCATAAGATTACTTTGCAAGATTCACAATTGTTAATCGAGCTCGAGGACTTCAACGGTGAAACAGCACATGCGTTTTATGACTCATTTCGCGTTGGCTCGGAAGGTGAAAAATATGTTCTTCATTTGGGCGAATTCACCGGGACAGGAGGGGATTCTATGTCTTCTATGCATAACGGTATGAAGTTCAGCACAAGGGATCAAGATAATGACGATGATTCTAATTCATGCGCGCAGACCTACACAGGTGCATGGTGGTACGGATCATGTCATTTAGCGAATCTAAATGGCCAATATGGTGTAGATACGTATGGTAAAGGAATTAATTGGCAAACATGGAAAGGTCATGATCATTCTCTAAAAGCAACAGCAATGAAAGTGAGGCCACGTCGAGGTGAGACATTATTTCATAACACCTAACACTCTAGTAAGCTAATTTGAGACATTTTTAGCACTATTTTTCCATTCCACCATTTGAGTTTTCAAACCAAGAAATAGCCTGATATCTAATTTAATGGTGTGTCGTTGTCACGAGGCGTTATTCTTTGGTTTGGTACTATAACAGTTTATTGTGACCATCCGTTTGAACAGGACACTCGTCGCTAAAACGCGTCATTTAGGTACGATTCAAGAAACGTTTATACTTTGGCCAGACTGCTGGTTGTATTCAAAATTCTACTTCATCCTGTATGTTATGTTTTTTAAAAGCCTTAACTAATACATGTTTTCGTGTAAAATAAAAAATTTCCTTTGTAAATATCTTATTATCCACTCCCCTCAGGGCTTTTCAGGGATAATTTACAACACTGGTTGGGGGACTTTGCCAGACTGCTTAAGGTGCAGTTTACAAGTAATGAAGGAATGAGTAATGATGCCCCCATACATGAGTGTGAAAGTGAGATAGACCACTACACCGGGCACTACGTGCCCTACTCTTTACGAAGAGTGTGTGGGTTCTTTAACGTCCCACAGATTTAATACATGTGCAAGGGCTTGTGAGACGGGGCCTACGGTTTATCGTCCTTATCCGAGAAGACTAGAAAGTCTAGCCGTTTGCAGATATTATTACAAAGGCAGCACTTTCTCCTCAGTTATTTAAAGACCCTGAGTGTTGGTCCGGCCGGGGTTTGAACCCGCGACCTCCCGCTCAGCAGACCGGCGCTCTCCCAACTGAGCTAACCAGGCGGCGGTTCAGCTAACCAGGCGGCGGTTCAAATAAATTTCAAAAATCGTGGTCCAGTATTGTTATTCAAGACTATCGACTTAATCACTGAAACTGCTTGTCTATTGCTACGGATAACAAGAATGAAGATGGATTGAAACTTAAAAATATGAGCCAACTTTTTCAAGTTTTAATGCTAGTATGCTTCCCTACTTAGTGCTCCCTAATAAAAAATTGTTTGATGTCTTTTTCTCTACAGGAGCATTTTGTGTATCAGTTTAAGATAGTCACTAAATAATGACTATAAGCAGTATAATGGGGTAACGGGGTTGATTTAACGTGGCAAAGTATGATAATTGTAGCCAGACAAATGAGGTCCAATAAACAATTTCTACCTTTCGTATAGAGGTTTCACCACGGTCAAACGAGAGAGATTTTTTAATCGGTTTGTAAAAGCTAAGCAAAGTGCTGTCAAAGCTAAGGATTTTAGTTTCACTGTTCAATAAGTTTGATATTATTTTCAACACTCGGTTATAATTTATGAACGTTTATTAAAAAAGATTTTTTATTTTTTGAAATTCGAAACTCATGTTAAACTGCCGAAGCCATTTGTCAAGAACAGAATGACTGTTACTAAACGCAAAGTGTTCCTATCGAAAAGAAGCTTGTAAATTGGAAAAAAAAATGCAAAGACCGAGTTCTGTTAAATAATTCTTTTGTAAATCCTTATCCATGCTTCTCAATGTTGAATGACATCCAACTAAAAATTAAAAAAAAAAAAAGGAACTCGAAAGTTTGACGGCGTGGATATCGAGGTAAGGTACTAAAAATGGCTATATAGCTCTCTGTTAAAATACTTGGCTGTGGAAAAACTGAATAGATTTACACTTTAATTTTTATTTAACTTCTCTAAAATTCATACCTTTCATTAAAGAGCGCGACGTTTATTATGAGCTGGTATTCAGTGGAGCTCCCTCAGACTACGTTCTGTTCCCTCGAATCACTGATTTCAGAGATGTGTCATCCTGCTGGTGGATTAAGACCTTGGGGGGACCAGACTGGCAAACAGTTTTCTCTCTTCACAATCACAGTGACAACACTAGCGTCTTGAGTCTTTCTTTTAGCTTGAATGGTCATTATGAGTTCCGCGTGAACAGTGAAGTAAGGTAATAGCTTTGTTTTTACTTGTTTTTTCCTGTCAACGAGAGTATAGAACTGATTGCTATAAACGTACGAGAAAGATACACATTCCTTCAAAACATTAAGGCTTTCTGTACCTACACCACACCAATCTCTAAAGAGCAAGCGTCAGCGCTTACTTAAGCAGCCAAGAATTTCATCCGCTCAGCAAGACCTAAAACAAACAATTGACTTAAAAACCTGTCATGCATGGAATTTGTCACGTGGCATGACACAAGTGCTGATTCTTAAAGGATGGGGGTACTTTTTAAATATGATAAGTTTTATCCAAGGTTCTTTGAAAAGGGCTAAAATACCATCTCATCTGTTTCTGGTAAGTTTAACCTTTTAGCAGAAGAAAGTTGAGTAATTTCTCTCTCTTCCTTTCAAGCAGCTCCGACTGTATCCTTTCATAAAAATTCAACACTCCTCATGTGAGCTCATGTGGGCTGACTGCCTGTACTTAGCAGTATATCAAAGTAACTTCACTGACTACAATCTCCGTGTGATAACAGACAGTCGTTGCCCTCAACCACAAAACGAAATGATTCACCTTCTTCAGGCTGACCCTGATATGTTCACTGCTACAGGAACTGTCTTTTGATACAATCTTGGACAAAACCCTTGCGTACTTGGAGAGTATTTTTCTAAACTGTATCTCGTAGCCGTTGGCGCATGATTCTTCCCTCCCCCCTTCCCCTGGAAACAGTGTTGTTGTGTTTTCAAGAGAAAGACCCATCTCTGGACGTTTGTAGGAAACAACGTTGAACTGGCGGAGGGGGGTTCCTTTATGCAAAGCCGCTGATTTGAAAATAGTTTTGTCTGCCAAGAGAGAATTGGTCTGCCTAAGGTAGTGCCCATTAACGAAAAAAAAGTTCTCAAATAATTCTGCCCGGGATTTTAGAGGGAGAGAGAGAACTATCCCCAGGTTTCCCTCTCTATGTCAGGCCTTTCACCTCAGATGTGCTTGTACTGAGCTCCGGGTATCTTAGTAGAGGTTTTACAATAGTATACTAGAAGCTCATATAATTCATTTTGATTTCGCAGGACCTTCTATCTTGAAAACTACTTTATTACAGACGCTATCTGGCATCACGTGTGCACCATGTGGTTTTCAGAATCGGGAACGTGGAAGGCTTTCATCGACGGTAAAATGCGAGCAACAGTAACAGACTTAACTCCTTATAGACCAGGCATTGGCTACTTAGTAATAGGAAGATTCCAGGGCAGCTTAGCTCATTTTAATATATGGGATAAGGATATTGGTTTTGGTGATCCGTTAAGAGACCTGGGACGTTCTTTGATCACCGGAAATGTTGTACCATGGACCGAAGTACAATTTTGGCGCTCTGGAAATGTGACGAAGAAGAAGTCATCCCTCTGCAAATTGTCAGGTGAGGAGTGCAAATACATGCAAAGAGGTCACCATTGAAAAGCGGTCAGTCAACGAAGGGTGGATCACATGGTATAGTATTTAACCCATTCGCTCCTGGAGATTTTGCCGAAAAACGCGTTTTGAAGCTAGTCGAGTGGTTTTCTGGTCACTGTCGTGCTATAAAGAGCTAAAACTTACCACAAACCGGTTTACAGGTCGTACACTTGGCGGCCTTCTGATCCAGATGCAAAATATCAGCTTACGAAGTTCGGGCATGCGCAGAAAGCAAAATTTCGACATAGTTTTTGGGTTTAAAAGTGACACAGCAGTCTTGACTTTTACTTTCCGCTTTCTCTCCTCCCTTCTTTTTTCGCTTTTCTTGCCTCATTTTTTTTTTCTCTTGCTGGGCATTTAGTAGGCTTCATTTTGGTGGGAAGAGTTTTTAGGAAAGCTTTTAGGATCTTAGGATTAGGTGAAAGGAAAGGTAGGTGGGTAATGGAACAAGATTTTCAAGGAGATTTTCAGGTCCTTGTCACGTGGTTTTTTGCTTCTTTCTCCAGTGTCCTTGACTGAATTGTGCTCATTCTGGTATGGTTTGAAAGATCTCTTCACCCTGCACAAGTTAACGAAGACACAGCAGTCTTGACTTTTTACTTTCCGCTTTCTCTCCTCCCTTCTTTTTTTCGCTTTTCTTGCCTTTTTTTTTTTTTTTTTCTCTTGCTGGGCATTTAGTAGGCTTCATTTTGGTGGGAAGAGTTTTTAGGAAAGCTTTTAGGATCTTAGGATTAGGTGAAAGGAAAGGTAGGTGGGTAATGGAACAAGATTTTCAAGGAGATTTTCAGGTCCTTGTCACGTGGTTTTTTGCTTCTTTCTCCAGTGTCCTTGACTGAATTGTGCTCATTCTGGTATGGTTTGAAAGATCTCTTCACCCTGCACAAGTTAACGAAGACACAGCAGTCTTGACTTTTACTTTCCGCTTTCTCTCCTCCCTTTTTTTTCGCTTTTCTTGCCTCATTTTTTTTTTTTTCTCTTGCTGGGCATTTAGTAGGCTTCATTTTGGTGGGAAGAGTTTTTAGGAAAGCTTTTTAGGATCTTAGGATTAGGTGAAAGGAAAGGTAGGTGGGTAATGGAACAAGATTTTCAAGGAGATTTTCAGGTCCTTGTCACGTGGTTTTTTGCTTCTTTCTCCAGTGTCCTTGACTGAATTGTGCTCATTCTGGTATGGTTTGAAAGATCTCTTCACCCTGCACAAGTTAACGAAGACACAGCAGTCTTGACTTTTACTTTCCGCTTTCTCTCCTCCCTTCTTTTTTTTCGCTTTTTCTTGCCTTTGCCTTTTTTTTTTTTTTTTTTCTCTTGCTGGGCATTTAGTAGGCTTCATTTTGGTGGGAAGAGTTTTTAGGAAAGCTTTTAGGATCTTAGGATTAGGTGAAAGGAAAGGTAGGTGGGTAATGGAACAAGATTTTCAAGGAGATTTTCAGGTCCTTGTCACGTGGTTTTTTGCTTCTTTCTCCAGTGTCCTTGACTGAATTGTGCTCATTCTGGTATGGTTTGAAAGATCTCTTCACCCTGCACAAGTTAACGAAGACACAGCAGTCTTGACTTTTACTTTCCGCTTTCTCTCCTCCCTTCTTTTTTCGCTTTTCTTGCCTCATTTTTTTTTTCTCTTGCTGGGCATTTAGTAGGCTTCATTTTGGTGGGAAGAGTTTTTAGGAAAGCTTTTAGGATCTTAGGATTAGGTGAAAGGAAAGGTAGGTGGGTAATGGAACAAGATTTTCAAGGAGATTTTCAGGTCCTTGTCACGTGGTTTTTTGCTTCTTTCTCCAGTGTCCTTGACTGAATTGTGCTCATTCTGGTATGGTTTGAAAGATCTCTTCACCCTGCACAAGTTAACGAAGACACAGCAGTCTTGACTTTTACTTTCCGCTTTCTCTCCTCCCTTTTTTTTCGCTTTTCTTGCCTCATTTTTTTTTTTCTCTTGCTGGGCATTTAGTAGGCTTCATTTTGGTGGGAAGAGTTTTTAGGAAAGCTTTTTAGGATCTTAGGATTAGGTGAAAGGAAAGGTAGGTGGGTAATGGAACAAGATTTTCAAGGAGATTTTCAGGTCCTTGTCACGTGGTTTTTTGCTTCTTTCTCCAGTGTCCTTGACTGAATTGTGCTCATTCTGGTATGGTTTGAAAGATCTCTTCACCCTGCACAAGTTAACGAAGACACAGCAGTCTTGACTTTTACTTTCCGCTTTCTCTCCTCCCTTCTTTTTTCGCTTTTCTTGCCTCATTTTTTTTTTCTCTTGCTGGGCATTTAGTAGGCTTCATTTTGGTGGGAAGAGTTTTTAGGAAAGCTTTTAGGATCTTAGGATTAGGTGAAAGGAAAGGTAGGTGGGTAATGGAACAAGATTTTCAAGGAGATTTTCAGGTCCTTGTCACGTGGTTTTTTGCTTCTTTCTCCAGTGTCCTTGACTGAATTGTGCTCATTCTGGTATGGTTTGAAAGATCTCTTCACCCTGCACAAGTTAACGAAGACACAGCAGTCTTGACTTTTACTTTCCGCTTTCTCTCCTCCCTTCTTTTTTCGCTTTTCTTGCCTCATTTTTTTTTTCTTTTCTCGCTGGTCGCATTGGCTTCATTTTGGTGGGAAGAGTTTTTAGGAAAGCTTTTAGGATCTTAGGATTAGGTGAAAGGAAAGGTAGGTGGGTAATGGAACAAGATTTTCAAGGAGATTTTCAGGTCCTTGTCACGTGGTTTTTGCTTCTTTCTCCAGTGTCCTTGACTGAATTGTGCTCATTCTGGTATGGTTTGAAAGATCTCTTCACCCTGCACAAGTTAACGAAGACACAGCAGTCTTGACTTTTACTTTCCGCTTTCTCTCCTCCCTTCTTTTTTTCGCTTTTCTTGCCTTTTTTTTTTTTCTCTTGCTGGGCATTTAGTAGGCTTCATTTTGGTGGGAAGAGTTTTTAGGAAAGCTTTTAGGATCTTAGGATTAGGTGAAAGGAAAGGTAGGTGGGTAATGGAACAAGATTTTCAAGGAGATTTTCAGGTCCTTGTCACGTTTTTTTGCTTCTTTCTCCAGTGTCCTTGACTGAATTGTGCTCATTCTGGTATGGTTTGAAAGATCTCTTCACCCTGCACAAGTTAACGAAGACACAGCAGTCTTGACTTTTACTTTCCGCTTTTCTCCTCCCTCTTTTTTCTTTTTTTTCTTGCCCTTTTTTTTTTTTTTTTTTCTCTTGCTGGGCATTTAGTAGGCTTCATTTTGGTGGGAAGAGTTTTTAGGAAAGCTTTTAGGATCTTAGGATTAGGTGAAAGGAAAGGTAGGTGGGTAATGGAACAAGATTTTCAAGGAGATTTTCAGGTCCTTGTCACGTGGTTTTTTGCTTCTTTCTCCAGTGTCCTTGACTGAATTGTGCTCATTCTGGTATGGTTTGAAAGATCTCTTCACCCTGCACAAGTTAACGAAGACACAGCAGTCTTGACTTTTACTTTCCTTTCTCTCCTCCTTCTTTTTTTTTCGCTTTTCTTGCCTCATTTTTTTTTTTTTTTCTCTTGCTGGGCATTTAGTAGGCTTCATTTTGGTGGGAAGAGTTTTTAGGAAAGCTTTTAGGATCTTAGGATTAGGTGAAAGGAAAGGTAGGTGGGTAATGGAACAAGATTTTCAAGGAGATTTTCAGGTCCTTGTCACGTGGTTTTTTGCTTCTTTCTCCAGTGTCCTTGACTGAATTGTGCTCATTCTGGTATGGTTTGAAAGATCTCTTCACCCTGCACAAGTTAACGAAGACACAGCAGTCTTGACTTTTACTTTCCGCTTTCTCTCCTCCCTTCTTTTTTTTCGCTTTTCTTGCCTTTTTTTTTTTTTTTTTTCTCTTGCTGGGCATTTAGTAGGCTTCATTTTGGTGGGAAGAGTTTTTAGGAAAGCTTTTAGGATCTTAGGATTAGGTGAAAGGAAAGGTAGGTGGGTAATGGAACAAGATTTTCAAGGAGATTTTCAGGTCCTTGTCACGTGGTTTTTTTGCTTCTTTCTCCAGTGTCCTTGACTGAATTGTGCTCATTCTGGTATGGTTTGAAAGATCTCTTCACCCTGCACAAGTTAACGAAGACACAGCAGTCTTGACTTTTACTTTCCGCTTTCTCTCCTCCCTTCTTTTTTTCGCTTTTCTTGCCTCATTTTTTTTTTTTCTCTTGCTGGGCATTTAGTAGGCTTCATTTTGGTGGGAAGAGTTTTTAGGAAAGCTTTTAGGATCTTAGGATTAGGTGAAAGGAAAGGTAGGTGGGTAATGGAACAAGATTTTCAAGGAGATTTTCAGGTCCTTGTCACGTGGTTTTTGCTTCTTTCTCCAGTGTCCTTGACTGAATTGTGCTCATTCTGGTATGGTTTGAAAGATCTCTTCACCCTGCACAAGTTAACGAAGACACAGCAGTCTTGACTTTTACTTTCCGCTTTCTCTCCTCCCTTCTTTTTTTCGCTTTTCTTGCCTCATTTTTTTTTTTTTTCTCTTGCTGGGCATTTAGTAGGCTTCATTTTGGTGGGAAGAGTTTTTAGGAAAGCTTTTAGGATCTTAGGATTAGGTGAAAGGAAAGGTAGGTGGGTAATGGAACAAGATTTTCAAGGAGATTTTCAGGTCCTTGTCACGTGGTTTTTTGCTTCTTTCTCCAGTGTCCTTGACTGAATTGTGCTCATTCTGGTATGGTTTGAAAGATCTCTTCACCCTGCACAAGTTAACGAAGACACAGCAGTCTTGACTTTTACTTTCCGCTTTCTCTCTCCCTTTTTTTTTTTCGCTTTTCTTGCCTCACTTTTTTTTTTTTTTTTTCTCTTGCTGGGCATTTAGTAGGCTTCATTTTGGTGGGAAGAGTTTTTAGGAAAGCTTTTAGGATCTTAGGATTAGGTGAAAGGAAAGGTAGGTGGGTAATGGAACAAGATTTTCAAGGAGATTTTCAGGTCCTTGTCACGTGGTTTTTGCTTCTTTCTCCAGTGTCCTTGACTGAATTGTGCTCATTCTGGTATGGTTTGAAAGATCTCTTCACCCTGCACAAGTTAACGAAGACACAGCAGTCTTGACTTTTACTTTCCGCTTTCTCCTCCCTTCTTTTTTTTTCGCTTTTCTTGCCTTTTTTTTTTTCTCTTGCTGGGCATTTAGTAGGCTTCATTTTGGTGGGAAGAGTTTTTAGGAAAGCTTTTAGGATCTTAGGATTAGGTGAAAGGAAAGGTAGGTGGGTAATGGAACAAGATTTTCAAGGAGATTTTCAGGTCCTTGTCACGTGGTTTTTTGCTTCTTTCTCCAGTGTCCTTGACTGAATTGTGCTCATTCTGGTATGGTTTGAAAGATCTCTTCACCCTGCACAAGTTAACGAAGACACAGCAGTCTTGACTTTTACTTTCCGCTTTCTCTCCTCCCTTCTTTTTTTCGCTTTTCTTGCCTCATTTTTTTTTTCTCTTGCTGGGCATTTAGTAGGCTTCATTTTGGTGGGAAGAGTTTTTAGGAAAGCTTTTAGGATCTTAGGATTAGGTGAAAGGAAAGGTAGGTGGGTAATGGAACAAGATTTTCAAGGAGATTTTCAGGTCCTTGTCACGTGGTTTTTTGCTTCTTTCTCCAGTGTCCTTGACTGAATTGTGCTCATTCTGGTATGGTTTGAAAGATCTCTTCACCCTGCACAAGTTAACGAAGACACAGCAGTCTTGACTTTTACTTTCCGCTTTCTCTCCTCCCTTTTTTTTTCTTTTCTTGCCTCATTTTTTTTTTTTTCTCTTGCTGGGCATTTAGTAGGCTTCATTTTGGTGGGAAGAGTTTTTAGGAAAGCTTTTAGGATCTTAGGATTAGGTGAAAGGAAAGGTAGGTGGGTAATGGAACAAGATTTTCAAGGAGATTTTCAGGTCCTTGTCACGTGGTTTTTTGCTTCTTTCTCCAGTGTCCTTGACTGAATTGTGCTCATTCTGGTATGGTTTGAAAGATCTCTTCACCCTGCACAAGTTAACGAAGACACAGCAGTCTTGACTTTTACTTTCCGCTTTCTCTCCTCCCTTCTTTTTTCGCTTTTCTTGCCTCATTTTTTTTTTTCTCTTGCTGGGCATTTAGTAGGCTTCATTTTGGTGGGAAGAGTTTTTAGGAAAGCTTTTAGGATCTTAGGATTAGGTGAAAGGAAAGGTAGGTGGGTAATGGAACAAGATTTTCAAGGAGATTTTCAGGTCCTTGTCACGTGGTTTTTTGCTTCTTTCTCCAGTGTCCTTGACTGAATTGTGCTCATTCTGGTATGGTTTGAAAGATCTCTTCACCCTGCACAAGTTAACGAAGACACAGCAGTCTTGACTTTTACTTTCCGCTTTCTCCTCCCTTCTTTTTTCGCTTTTCTTGCCTCTTTTTTTTTTTTTTTTCTCTTGCTGGGCAGTGATTTAGCTTCATTTTGGTGGGAAGAGTTTTTAGGAAAGCTTTTAGGATCTTAGGATTAGGTGAAAGGAAAGGTAGGTGGGTAATGGAACAAGATTTTCAAGGAGATTTTCAGGTCCTTGTCACGTGGTTTTTGCTTCTTTCTCCAGTGTCCTTGACTGAATTGTGCTCATTCTGGTATGGTTTGAAAGATCTCTTCACCCTGCACAAGTTAACGAAGACACAGCAGTCTTGACTTTTTTACTTTCCGCTTTCTCTCCTCCCTTCTTTTTTCGCTTTTCTTGCCTCATTTTTTTTTTTTTCTCTTGCTGGGCATTTAGTAGGCTTCATTTTGGTGGGAAGAGTTTTTAGGAAAGCTTTTAGGATCTTAGGATTAGGTGAAAGGAAAGGTAGGTGGGTAATGGAACAAGATTTTCAAGGAGATTTTCAGGTCCTTGTCACGTGGTTTTTGCTTCTTTCTCCAGTGTCCTTGACTGAATTGTGCTCATTCTGGTATGGTTTGAAAGATCTCTTCACCCTGCACAAGTTAACGAAGACACAGCAGTCTTGACTTTTACTTTCCGCTTTCTCTCCTCCCTTCTTCTTTTTTCGCTTTTTTCTTGCCTTTTTTTTTTTTCTCTTGCTGGGCATTTAGTAGGCTTCATTTTGGTGGGAAGAGTTTTTAGGAAAGCTTTTAGGATCTTAGGATTAGGTGAAAGGAAAGGTAGGTGGGTAATGGAACAAGATTTTCAAGGAGATTTTCAGGTCCTTGTCACGTGGTTTTTTGCTTCTTTCTCCAGTGTCCTTGACTGAATTGTGCTCATTCTGGTATGGTTTGAAAGATCTCTTCACCCTGCACAAGTTAACGAAGACACAGCAGTCTTGACTTTTACTTTCCTTTCTCTCCTCCCTTCTTTTTTTTTCGCTTTTCTTGCCTCATTTTTTTTTTTTCTCTTGCTGGGCATTTAGTAGGCTTCATTTTGGTGGGAAGAGTTTTTAGGAAAGCTTTTAGGATCTTAGGATTAGGTGAAAGGAAAGGTAGGTGGGTAATGGAACAAGATTTTCAAGGAGATTTTCAGGTCCTTGTCACGTGTTTTTTGCTTCTTTCTCCAGTGTCCTTGACTGAATTGTGCTCATTCTGGTATGGTTTGAAAGATCTCTTCACCCTGCACAAGTTAACGAAGACACAGCAGTCTTGACTTTTACTTTCCGCTTTCTCTCCTCCCTTCTTTTTTCGCTTTTCTTGCCTCATTTTTTTTTTTTCTCTTGCTGGGCATTTAGTAGGCTTCATTTTGGTGGGAAGAGTTTTTTTAGGAAAGCTTTTAGGATCTTAGGATTAGGTGAAAGGAAAGGTAGGTGGGTAATGGAACAAGATTTTCAAGGAGATTTTCAGGTCCTTGTCACGTGGTTTTTTGCTTCTTTCTCCAGTGTCCTTGACTGAATTGTGCTCATTCTGGTATGGTTTGAAAGATCTCTTCACCCTGCACAAGTTAACGAAGACACAGCAGTCTTGACTTTTACTTTCCGCTTTCTCTCCTCCCTTCTTTTTTTTCGCTTTTCTTGCCTCATTTTTTTTTTTTCTCTTGCTGGGCATTTAGTAGGCTTCATTTTGGTGGGAAGAGTTTTTAGGAAAGCTTTTTAGGATCTTAGGATTAGGTGAAAGGAAAGGTAGGTGGGTAATGGAACAAGATTTTCAAGGAGATTTTCAGGTCCTTGTCACGTGGTTTTTTGCTTCTTTCTCCAGTGTCCTTGACTGAATTGTGCTCATTCTGGTATGGTTTGAAAGATCTCTTCACCCTGCACAAGTTAACGAAGACACAGCAGTCTTGACTTTTACTTTCCGCTTTCTCTCCTCCCTTCTTTTTTTTTCGCTTTTCTTGCCTCATTTTTTTTTTTCTCTTGCTGGGCATTTAGTAGGCTTCATTTTGGTGGGAAGAGTTTTTAGGAAAGCTTTTAGGATCTTAGGATTAGGTGAAAGGAAAGGTAGGTGGGTAATGGAACAAGATTTTCAAGGAGATTTTCAGGTCCTTGTCACGTGGTTTTTGCTTCTTTCTCCAGTGTCCTTGACTGAATTGTGCTCATTCTGGTATGGTTTGAAAGATCTCTTCACCCTGCACAATAACGAAGACACAGCAGTCTTGACTTTTACTTTCCGCTTTCTCTCCTCCCTTCTTTTTTTTTCGCTTTTCTTGCCTCATTTTTTTTTTTTCTCTTGCTGGGCATTTAGTAGGCTTCATTTTGGTGGGAAGAGTTTTTAGGAAAGCTTTTAGGATCTTAGGATTAGGTGAAAGGAAAGGTAGGTGGGTAATGGAACAAGATTTTCAAGGAGATTTTCAGGTCCTTGTCACGTGGTTTTTTGCTTCTTTCTCCAGTGTCCTTGACTGAATTGTGCTCATTCTGGTATGGTTTGAAAGATCTCTTCACCCTGCACAAGTTAACGAAGACACAGCAGTCTTGACTTTTACTTTCCGCTTTCTCTCCTCCCTTCTTTTTTCGCTTTTCTTGCCTCTTTTTTTTTTTCTCTTGCTGGGCATTTAGTAGGCTTCATTTTGGTGGGAAGAGTTTTTAGGAAAGCTTTTAGGATCTTAGGATTAGGTGAAAGGAAAGGTAGGTGGGTAATGGAACAAGATTTTCAAGGAGATTTTCAGGTCCTTGTCACGTGGTTTTTTGCTTCTTTCTCCAGTGTCCTTGACTGAATTGTGCTCATTCTGGTATGGTTTGAAAGATCTCTTCACCCTGCACAAGTTAACGAAGACACAGCAGTCTTGACTTTTACTTTCCGCTTTCTCTCCTCCCTTCTTTTTCGCTTTTCTTGCCCTTTTTTTTTTTTCTCTTGCTGGGCATTTAGTAGGCTTCATTTTGGTGGGAAGAGTTTTTAGGAAAGCTTTTTAGGATCTTAGGATTAGGTGAAAGGAAAGGTAGGTGGGTAATGGAACAAGATTTTCAAGGAGATTTTCAGGTCCTTGTCACGTGGTTTTTTGCTTCTTTCTCCAGTGTCCTTGACTGAATTGTGCTCATTCTGGTATGGTTTGAAAGATCTCTTCACCCTGCACAAGTTAACGAAGACACAGCAGTCTTGACTTTTACTTTCCGCTTTCTCTCCTCCCTTCTTTTTTCGCTTTTCTTGCCTCATTTTTTTTTTTTTCTCTTGCTGGGCATTTAGTAGGCTTCATTTTGGTGGGAAGAGTTTTTAGGAAAGCTTTTTAGGATCTTAGGATTAGGTGAAAGGAAAGGTAGGTGGGTAATGGAACAAGATTTTCAAGGAGATTTTCAGGTCCTTGTCACGTGGTTTTTGCTTCTTTCTCCAGTGTCCTTGACTGAATTGTGCTCATTCTGGTATGGTTTGAAAGATCTCTTCACCCTGCACAAGTTAACGAAGACACAGCAGTCTTGACTTTTTTTACTTTCCGCTTTCTCTCCTCCCTTCTTTTTCGCTTTTCTTGCCTCATTTTTTTTTTTTTCTCTTGCTGGGCATTTAGTAGGCTTCATTTTGGTGGGAAGAGTTTTTAGGAAAGTTTTTAGGATCTTAGGATTAGGTGAAAGGAAAGGTAGGTGGGTAATGGAACAAGATTTTCAAGGAGATTTTCAGGTCCTTGTCACGTGGTTTTTGCTTCTTTCTCCAGTGTCCTTGACTGAATTGTGCTCATTCTGGTATGGTTTGAAAGATCTCTTCACCCTGCACAAGTTAACGAAGACACAGCAGTCTTGACTTTTACTTTCCGCTTTCTCTCCTCCCTTCTTTTTTTCGCTTTTCTTGCCTCATTTTTTTTCTCTTGCTGGGCATTTAGTAGGCTTCATTTTGGTGGGAAGAGTTTTTAGGAAAGATTTTTTAGGATCTTAGGATTAGGTGAAAGGAAAGGTAGGTGGGTAATGGAACAAGATTTTCAAGGAGATTTTCAGGTCCTTGTCACGTGGTTTTTTGCTTCTTTCTCCAGTGTCCTTGACTGAATTGTGCTCATTCTGGTATGGTTTGAAAGATCTCTTCACCCTTCACAAGTTAACGAAGACACAGCAGTCTTGACTTTTACTTTCCGCTTTCTCCTCCTCCCTTTTTTTTCGCTTTTCTTGCCTCATTTTTTTTTTCTCTTGCTGGGCATTTAGTAGGCTTCATTTTGGTGGGAAGAGTTTTTAGGAAAGCTTTTAGGATCTTAGGATTAGGTGAAAGGAAAGGTAGGTGGGTAATGGAACAAGATTTTCAAGGAGATTTTCAGGTCCTTGTCACGTGGTTTTTTGCTTCTTTCTCCAGTGTCCTTGACTGAATTGTGCTCATTCTGGTATGGTTTGAAAGATCTCTTCACCCTGCACAAGTTAACGAAGACACAGCAGTCTTGACTTTTACTTTCCGCTTTCTCTCCTCCCTTCTTTTTTTCGCTTTTCTTGCCTCATTTTTTTTTTTTCTCTTGCTGGGCATTTAGTAGGCTTCATTTTGGTGGGAAGAGTTTTTAGGAAAGCTTTTAGGATCTTAGGATTAGGTGAAAGGAAAGGTAGGTGGGTAATGGAACAAGATTTTCAAGGAGATTTTCAGGTCCTTGTCACGTGGTTTTTGCTTCTTTCTCCAGTGTCCTTGACTGAATTGTGCTCATTCTGGTATGGTTTGAAAGATCTCTTCACCCTGCACAAGTTAACGAAGACACAGCAGTCTTGACTTTTACTTTCCGCTTTCTCTCCTCCCTTCTTTTTTTTCGCTTTTCTTGCCTCATTTTTTTTTTTTCTCTTGCTGGGCATTTAGTAGGCTTCATTTTGGTGGGAAGAGTTTTTAGGAAAGCTTTTAGGATCTTAGGATTAGGTGAAAGGAAAGGTAGGTGGGTAATGGAACAAGATTTTCAAGGAGATTTTCAGGTCCTTGTCACGTGGTTTTTGCTTCTTTCTCCAGTGTCCTTGACTGAATTGTGCTCATTCTGGTATGGTTTGAAAGATCTCTTCACCCTGCACAAGTTAACGAAGACACAGCAGTCTTGACTTTTACTTTTCCTTTCTTTCTCCTCCCTTCTTTTTTTCGCTTTTCTTGCCTTTTTTTTTCTCTTGCTGGGCATTTAGTAGGCTTCATTTTGGTGGGAAGAGTTTTTAGGAAAGCTTTTTAGGATCTTAGGATTAGGTGAAAGGAAAGGTAGGTGGGTAATGGAACAAGATTTTCAAGGAGATTTTCAGGTCCTTGTCACGTGTTTTTTGCTTCTTTCTCCAGTGTCCTTGACTGAATTGTGCTCATTCTGGTATGGTTTGAAAGATCTCTTCACCCTGCACAAGTTAGCGAAGACACAGCAGTCTTGACTTTTACTTTCCGCTTTCTCTCCTCCCTTCTTTTTTTTCGCTTTTCTTGCCTCCTTTTTTTTTTTTTTCTCTTGCTGGGCATTTAGTAGGCTTCATTTTGGTGGGAAGAGTTTTTAGGAAAGCTTTTAGGATCTTAGGATTAGGTGAAAGGAAAGGTAGGTGGGTAATGGAACAAGATTTTCAAGGAGATTTTCAGGTCCTTGTCACGTGGTTTTTTGCTTCTTTCTCCAGTGTCCTTGACTGAATTGTGCTCATTCTGGTATGGTTTGAAAGATCTCTTCACCCTGCACAAGTTAGCGAAGACACAGCAGTCTTGACTTTTACTTTCCGCTTTCTCTCCTCCCTTCTTTTTTCGCTTTTCTTGCCTTTTTTTTTTTTTTTTTTTCTCTTGCTGGGCATTTAGTAGGCTTCATTTTGGTGGGAAGAGTTTTTAGGAAAGCTTTTAGGATCTTAGGATTAGGTGAAAGGAAAGGTAGGTGGGTAATGGAACAAGATTTTCAAGGAGATTTTCAGGTCCTTGTCACGTGGTTTTTTGCTTCTTTCTCCAGTGTCCTTGACTGAATTGTGCTCATTCTGGTATGGTTTGAAAGATCTCTTCACCCTGCACAAGTTAGCGAAGACACAGCAGTCTTGACTTTTACTTTCCGCTTTCTCTCCTCCCTTCTTTTTTCGCTTTTCTTGCCTCATTTTTTTTTTCTCTTGCTGGGCATTTAGTAGGCTTCATTTTGGTGGGAAGAGTTTTTAGGAAAGCTTTTAGGATCTTAGGATTAGGTGAAAGGAAAGGTAGGTGGGTAATGGAACAAGATTTTCAAGGAGATTTTCAGGTCCTTGTCACGTGGTTTTTTGCTTCTTTCTCCAGTGTCCTTGACTGAATTGTGCTCATTCTGGTATGGTTTGAAAGATCTCTTCACCCTGCACAAGTTAGCGAAGACACAGCAGTCTTGACTTTTTTACTTTCCGCTTTCTCTCCTCCCTTTTTTTTCGCTTTTCTTGCCTCATTTTTTTTTTCTCTTGCTGGGCATTTAGTAGGCTTCATTTTGGTGGGAAGAGTTTTTAGGAAAGCTTTTAGGATCTTAGGATTAGGTGAAAGGAAAGGTAGGTGGGTAATGGAACAAGATTTTCAAGGAGATTTTCAGGTCCTTGTCACGTGGTTTTTTGCTTCTTTCTCCAGTGTCCTTGACTGAATTGTGCTCATTCTGGTATGGTTTGAAAGATCTCTTCACCCTGCACAAGTTAGCGAAGACACAGCAGTCTTGACTTTTACTTTCCGCTTTCTCTCCTCCCTTCTTCTTTTTTCGCTTTTCTTGCCTCATTTTTTTTTTTTTCTCTTGCTGGGCATTTAGTAGGCTTCATTTTGGTGGGAAGAGTTTTTAGGAAAGCTTTTTAGGATCTTAGGATTAGGTGAAAGGAAAGGTAGGTGGGTAATGGAACAAGATTTTCAAGGAGATTTTCAGGTCCTTGTCACGTGGTTTTTTGCTTCTTTCTCCAGTGTCCTTGACTGAATTGTGCTCATTCTGGTATGGTTTGAAAGATCTCTTCACCCTGCACAAGTTAGCGAAGACACAGCAGTCTTGACTTTTACTTTCCGCTTTTCTCCTCCCCTTTTTTTCGCTTTTCTTGCCTCATTTTTTTTTTTTTTCTCTTGCTGGGCATTTAGTAGGCTTCATTTTGGTGGGAAGAGTTTTTAGGAAAGCTTTTAGGATCTTAGGATTAGGTGAAAGGAAAGGTAGGTGGGTAATGGAACAAGATTTTCAAGGAGATTTTCAGGTCCTTGTCACGTGGTTTTTTGCTTCTTTCTCCAGTGTCCTTGACTGAATTGTGCTCATTCTGGTATGGTTTGAAAGATCTCTTTCACCCTGCACAAGTTAGCGAAGACACAGCAGTCTTGACTTTTACTTTCCGCTTTTCTCCTCCCTTTTTTTTTCGCTTTTCTTGCCCATTTTTTTTTTTTTTCTCTTGCTGGGCATTTAGTAGGCTTCATTTTGGTGGGAAGAGTTTTTAGGAAAGCTTTTAGGATCTTAGGATTAGGTGAAAGGAAAGGTAGGTGGGTAATGGAACAAGATTTTCAAGGAGATTTTCAGGTCCTTGTCACGTGGTTTTTTTTCTTTCTCCAGTGTCCTTGACTGAATTGTGCTCATTCTGGTATGGTTTGAAAGATCTCTTCACCCTGCACAAGTTAGCGAAGACACAGCAGTCTTGACTTTTACTTTCCGCTTTCTCTCCTTTTTTTTTCGCTTTTCTTGCCTCATTTTTTTTTTTTTCTCTTGCTGGGCATTTAGTAGGCTTCATTTTGGTGGGAAGAGTTTTTAGGAAAGCTTTTAGGATCTTAGGATTAGGTGAAAGGAAAGGTAGGTGGGTAATGGAACAAGATTTTCAAGGAGATTTTCAGGTCCTTGTCACGTGGTTTTTTGCTTCTTTCTCCAGTGTCCTTGACTGAATTGTGCTCATTCTGGTATGGTTTGAAAGATCTCTTCACCCTGCACAAGTTAGCGAAGAAAGTTGTCCTTGACCGTTAAAACTGATGACGTCACAAAGGGTAGAAAGGACCTGGATCCGCACGGGCGGTTACGGGCGGTTCAGGGGCGAATGGGTTAAGCAAGTTCTTCAAGCAATTGTATTTAGGCGCTTATGAAGGTGTAGCAGTTGCTATTGTTGGTTTTCACACGACGTCATTAAAATTCAAACTACTTAACTATCGATCCGACTGAGATTTTACTTTTACGATTTATAAGAGCAGCTGAAAACTAATATTCATACAACTTCCTGCCAAAAAAACTGTCATGTAGGTTAAAAGTGACTTATTTCGGGGAAGTTTACTATCTGAACAGTTCATGTATTAAAAAAAAGTATTACTTTAATGTTTATTAGTTCCTTGAGAGATAAATTCACGCTTTCGTTGCAACACTCAGTAACAGATGTTTCTTTTGATTTCCGGCCGCCATGTTGGTGCCCATCCGGATGGACTTAATCTGTTGAACGATTTTTATTTTTACTTTGATCTATTTTGAATGCGGTGTCACTGAAAACCAGCAATAATTAATGAAATGATCCTCTTTTTCCTCTCAGGATTTCAATCCAGTATGATAAGTCACATTCCTCGCCACCAGGATGTGTTAATGGGCTGGACTATTGAAGCGCCACTTTTATGCGAGAGGTATTGGGTTCCATGCTTTAGAGGGGCTGTCGATGGATGGCATAGCCATATTTTTCACAGAAAATGCGATAACCTGGGTCCGACTTTGACTATTGCAAGAAAGGACTCTTACTTGTTCGGAGGCTTTGCAGATAAAAGCTGGAAAAGTAAGTCATCGATCATTTATTTATCTTCATAATGAATTTTATTTCGCCCAAATTGACCGACTAAAAAGGAAATGTAAAGGAAAAAAATCTTGCCACCACAATCTCTGTTAAATCGTTTTCCATACTGAATCCTTGCATTTGCAAATTTTGAAATTTTCAAGATGTCGTAAAACCTTTCCCCATTTACACATTGTAGGGCTCAAATTTTCTGTTATGAACACAAGAAAACTTGAGGCCTGCATTGTTTAATGCTTAAGGGAATCAAAGATTTTACGATAAGGATACGAGGATTTCAACCATTTAACCGTAACTAAGCGGCAAGTGTTGTTATTCCTACATAAATCCTTCTTAAAAATCTAGGACAGAAAATTTACAGGTTATCTAATTTTGATATGTTCTTTTAGTTCCTTCTAAAGTTATTTTTCCAAAATGATTTTTTTTCGTGCTTGCAAAAAGTTGACATAATTCTCTAAAGAAAAAGAATAAGATTATTCTATTCTATTGCTCTATTCTATTCTAGTTGACCACGTTACCAGTAATGCGGAAGGCCTATTGGATAATATTCCAACTGAATATCACAGTTTAATTAATAATTTAATTAGTTAAGTTTGAAAATTTTTGTTTAAATACCTTAGTTAATTCGAGGTGCGTTCTTCTGGGAATGAGCTCGGTGTATTACGTTTTTGGGTATAGGTTGTACTGGCAATGCGCTCTCGATTCACTTAGTCAGTCATTTATCCATTCAATCATTCACTTTGATTCCCACTGTTACAGATCATTCTCCTGCGCAAAGCATCTACTCCCAAAGATCGTTCTTATTCAGCTTAAAGCCTTTCAATACTGCCTATGGAACTAAAAAGTTTGGACAGTTAGAGGGGAAGAAAGATAAGGCCATGCGGGGATCGAGCGATAAAGGACCTTGCTGGGGAATGGATGCTGAAGAAATGTGCTTCAGCCCTCGAGCTGTTAAAACGGAACTCGGCTCCAGTGGTGTATTTAAGGATAAAGATATTCCAGATATCAGCACATTTTTTACCGGGGAATCATCTTTCCAAGCCGAGGATGTCGAGGTTCTCGCGCTTGCAGGTTAGAACAGAGTGTGCAAAAATGGAAGAATTTTAACCAATAAAACACACTGCTTCGCATGAATCAAGGAATGGATCTCGGAAAAATTGTGGGGGAGGGAAAGCGGGTAGTTGGCTCAACTTTCCACTTTAAACTTTGTACGGCCTAGGCCAGGTTGCATTAAACCTTCTTGACTTTTGTTCAGGAACAATAACCTATTAGTTTGAAATAATAGTTAGGAGTTCCCTTAATCTTAAGATGTGTTTTGCAACCCGACCCACTGGTTATTTTCTTTGTCACGTGACTTGCTATACCCATTTTTTGTTATTTATTTTGATCCAAATTTACAACACTGTTGGAAGCTTTGATTTAATTTAATTCGTTTGCTATTTATGACTAAGTGCAGGGTTTATGGAACTAATGGTGGTTTTTGAAATTTATAAACTGTAAACTGGAAAGTTTTCTTTTTAGAGAAATACTTGGGTAAGAAGAAAAACAATTAGATTATTAGCTTTAAACGAAAAACAATAAAAGAAAAACTGAGAAATTATGTATAAGAGTTATTATTCTAAAATGTGAAATTAAGCATAATTATGGGCGTGGATGTTCATGTGACCAAAAATAGTTCCTTTTACCGGGTCCAGTTACAATGGAAGATAAAGGGAATGCGAAACAAAAGAAGAAAATAATTCAGGTAAAAACCAGATATCAAGATACTCAGCCAAACGACAAACTTGAAAAGGTTGGGCCAACTTTTCCAACAAGATTATCAGAATCCGAGCATGCGCAGCACTTGATGTAGCCTATTTAAAGCAGGGCCTCGAAGGGAGAGAAAAGGATTCTCTGGCTCAATTGCGATAAGCCTTTGAAGTTAAAGGGACTACTCAATCTTATTTCCTTTCGTTCAACTAGTTTTTTGGTTGGTAATCAATAAACCAATAGTCATAAGAAAAATTGCGGTTACCGACGCATAGCAAAATCATCGACCGAAAAATTCAAAAGCATTGGAAGTCACTGTAGTGTTACAAATCCCGTCTTTGAGGGGGGTAGGGTGTAAGGAAAATATTCGTTACAAATAACCTAACAGGTGAGGTGTGGATAAGTTTGTTTAGTTCACTTTACGTGTGAGGAGTGAAAGATAGAATAAGAAGCATCCTTATACTAAACAGTGTCATTTTTTTCTGTAGATTATAAATGTGACCCCCCTTGTCGCGAGGATGAATATTGTGATGAAATCTCCGGCGAATGTGTCTGTCACTCAACTTTAAGAGGAGAAGAGATCTGTAAGCTGAGACAAGGTAGGAGCCTCGTAACCAACTCATTTTTTAGTCATCAAATACAAAAATTTATTCTTCATGAAGACTTCGAAGCCACGAGATATCAAAATGCGCGTTCTAACCCAAGACTGCAAAAAAAGCAAGAAGGAACGTGCTGCCTATCTTAACCAAATCTTGGCATGAGAAAAACCACAAGAAAATACTTTAAAACTAAAAAGTTGTCATTGTCTTCTTAACGAGTATAAGGCGGCCGAGATATCTTCATTCAAAGTACCCGATTTTCAGGTTTTTGTAAGGGGTTGCTACTTGGGATTTTTACGGCACAACTGACATCAATGCGAGTTAACCTTTGCTTGTAGCTTCAAAGGCGGTGGTGGTGGTGGAGTGTACACCGGCCCCCAGTTCTTTGCTATGCCTATACTTTAATTTAGATTTGCGATCTATCTTTCAGGATTACAGAAACTAAAGGACCAGCATTGCATTGATCAATGGGCTAACGACAGAAGCGATTGTCATGGAAGATTATTCGCGCGGTATTCCAACACAAACAACGACCCGACCAATGCCTGGCGTTGCTACTATGAAGACTCACTGACCGGTGATCGCTGGCGTTATGATATAGAAACGGCATCAAATTGCTATCACGAAGACGACGGATTAAAATTAGAGTACTTCGCAGATGAAGGTGATTCCTTTCTTCAACGTATCTGTTCCTTCTAGTACTAAAATTTTGTCTCAAAATTGACTTGCTGAACTACACAAACTGCATTCAACACTGTAAAATGTACGGCAGTGGTCCTTTTTTCTTAGAACTTAAGTTTTTCATTTTGTATATTTTATATCCATCCTGTTGTCTACAGGCTATTATCAGAAAGTGGGCAATTAATAGCGGAGCTCCAAGCGCGCGCGTGTGGGCAGATCCCCATAGCTAAGTAAATCTACCCATCCCAGAAAATTTGGTAATCACGTGACCGTACACCGAGCGACTGTCTGTCCGCACCACAGGGAAACCAATGTTTAGTCTCACACTTTATAGCTTGTTTGCGAGCCCAGGAGAAAACTGATTGCAAATCAATGTTGTGATCAATTGACAGCTGTCAAAACAGGGTATTCACTGACCAGTATCACCTGACGTATGGTGGGCTCAAGTGTCGACCCATCGAGTTCGAGTATTTTATTTGAGGTTATCCGCTGGCAAGTTACCAGTTTTTAAATGATCGCATGCTCAAGTTTATTTTTTCCAAAATTCATATGAAATGTGTTGTGTTTATGTCACTATGACCCCGCAGTATTAAGATTTTGATTTAAAACTGACTCGGACGCGAAAATTCAGCCAGTTATTTAAAATAAGGCGGAAAAGACCTTTTCTTACCATGGTCACGCAATGGTCACGCTCTACGTCCAATTTTCATGCTCTGATAGATCAAATTTTAACAGGTGAGTTCATGCGAAAAATTTATGCAGCATCTTGAAACTTGTTTACCTTGACAGCTGAAGCTGACAGAGTTTTGTGTCAACTTGTGATGTTTTTAACTGTCTTTTTCCACTGGATGCACAAAATGAAATTCAGCTGCTATCAGGAGTCTTCTGTTATTCATGGCTAGTTGGTTTTTGGTTGAGAAATTAATACATCATTTGTCAAAGTCGGAAAGCCGATTTCGGATGTTTATTTGGTTTTTGATTGAGAAATGCGTCGCATATGCATGTCAAAGTAGGAAATCCGATTTCGGATGGCATCGGTTTCGTTTTTCACTTTGCTTGATGCATAAGAGGGTTTAAAAATCTCAAGCGATTCTGGCCTTACCTGATAGCTTTCAGGAACTGCATCTCGAATGGTAAGCCTGAGTAATGATTAATTATAGCTAATTATATTTGATGTTTGTTTTTTTTATATCTAATTTCATGACGCCGAGCACAGTTTACGCGGCAAGTTTATGCACGTTTCGTTAAGATTTGAGACAATGATCTGACCTAGTATCGGGTTCTCATATAGGAAGAACACGTTCCGAAGAATATTTGTATAGGTAATAGCCTGATTTGTAGTGATATTTGGCATAAATACCACGAGTGATATTTCAAAATTGTTGTACGAAATTTCACTAGCCATTAGGCGAGTGAAATTTGAGACAATTTTGAAATATCACAAGCGGTATTTATGCCAAATATCATGTACAAATCATGCTATTATTTGTTTATACTACTACCCACAAAGGGTTTGTAATTTTTACATGTAGGTATTTCAAACTAAGCTGAAATACCACTGCTTTAAGCATATCAAATTGCAGAAATTTTTCATGTAGTAGTATAAAGTTATAAATTTGGCTGTAGAAAGATAACTTTGAGCGATTTTCTTGCCTCAAATTCATCTTTGAAAAAAGGAAACACCGGAAGGCCGGCTTAAAACATAAATCAAAGACTCAGGATTTTTAGAGACACTTTAATACTTGTCTTCGTGAATGAAAACTGTTGTCTCTGTAAATGTTTCACCGAATTATGTTTATTTTATTGATTGTTAGTGGTCTCTCTTGCAATTTTAATCGCTGTGCCGTTAGTTTTCAGTCAGTCATGAACATCGCTTGCAGGAGAACTGAAAATGCCGCGCGTATTAAATTAACGCTTTTTAAGATTACAAATTAACATAAATTCTTCATTATGTTGAAGCGTGACTCTGTTAATGTTCATTCATTAAACATTCTACCACAGCTCGCACTGCAAATTTATCAAAAGTGAGAACCCGACGGCCGTATAGGTGATTTTGGAAATTTTTTGAACGGTTTCTCTAAAAGCACACGATTGATCGTCCTGAATATTGACTGAGTGCAGTTTGTCTTGAAAAATTGTGAAATACCGCATTCTGTCCGAGGTCTGTATGATAAATAGTACTGTTTCACCTTAGATGGGATGCATAAGGTGTAAGATGTTTCACTCTCAAATAACTTAGCCTTTCCCTCAAACGTCACATGAATGTGGCCCTAAGTTAACTGACTTGTGGATTACAAGTTTATTGCTAGATTTAAATGATAAATTTATTGATGGGAGCTTCCCTTTTAGCCCTGGCTAAATCTATATATTATAAACATCATTATAATCATTAGAAGTCATGAGCTTAGTTAAATTATCTCCACTTCCTCTTATCTTGTACCCGAAGCTGGATCACCCTCTTGTCTCGGTAGATGAGTGAACGTTAAGGTACGATAAAACAGGTGGAAAAAAAAGCATGCAACTAGTTTTGCAATATTGCAGTGCAATACGAGTTGAAAATCAATTTTGCTTGTTTTACCATCCACGTTGAAACCTGTCTTGCAACAAATCAAGTTGTTGGAGCAAGTTAAGTAGGGCGTAGTTCTACTTTTTGCAACGAAATCTGTACATGTTGCACTTTTTACCGGTCCTAGGCAAACTTGTTTTGCTGCAAGTGACGTAACTCCCGTCTAAGGCGTGTCACTCCTGCGTAATTTTATCAAAAAAGAAGTCAGTATTCACGCAACCTGCAGCAACCTGAGTTGACTTGAACGTTGGTGGTGAAACGCTCAACATCGCTTTTCAACTCTTTTTGCACCTATGTTTTGAAACAATTTGAACTCTTTTGTTGCCAGTTTTACCGCTGCTTTAATGAAGAAATTTGCAAACTCAGCTTTACAGCTTTAACAGCTTTACTACTAACTGCTTTACAGCTATCCTAAATTTTTGAAAGGACTACACTTTATTTGGAAGGAAGAAGCCCCCTACAAGGGCATATTAGTGTGCTTACGCAACAGGAAGGGAGGCAAACCTTGTGTGACAAGCGTGACATTATGATTTTGTTGCCAAAAACGTTTCGCCAAACTTCACCCTCCTTTAAACATATCTTTTTGTAAGAGACCAGAAAACATTAACGTAAGTGAAGATCACGGCAAAACACGAAACGTAATAGCCCTGCCACGTTTGTCACGCACAAGCTTTCTGTCGTCTTCTTCTTTCCGCGGTCCTGTTGCGTAAACTCACTATTGATATCGTTATTCTGGATTCCACACAGTGAATTCCGGATTCCAAGTACTGGATTCCAGTATTTTGCATTGGAACTTGGACTCCGGAATCCAATCTTTAGCGGGATTCCGGATTCCTTGAGCTAAACTCCAGATTCAAGATCTTTTGTTTTCTCTTTAACGTAGTTCAGAACTGTAGAGCGCTAGGCATGGAGAGCACCGATATATTTGACTCCCAGATTAGTTCATCGTCTGATTGGGATGCTCATCACGAGGCCAGGAATGCTCGTCTTAACTTTCAAGCTGTTAGTGATCGAAGCGGTGCCTGGTCAGCAGGCAGCAACGATGCTAATCAATGGCTGCAAGTTGATTTTGTCAAGGTTGTTTCATTCTAATTTATTCACCTTAATCCACACCTTTGATAATTTTTGTCTTTATGACAATTGGCCCTTGATGTTTGGTTTGACTATTAAAATTCATCTAGGGTGCTTTCCAATATATTATATGCCAAAACGACTGCATATAAAATGCTGCGCGTGCGCATAACTCCCTCCCCTCTAATGTAAGATCTGCAACGAACTCAAATACATTCAAGTCCTTAACAAAACGGCATTTCAAACGCCACCCTCTCTCTTGAATTTTTTGAATTTCCCGTGTCTACGTACTTTTAGTGTGCTACTCTTCGCAAACTGTTTATATTTGTACTTTCTGAACAGGAAACAGATGTTGTTTCTGTATAAATGAATAAAATATAAATTAATAAATGATGAAATACATTAATTTTACTTTCAGACAGTCTCGGTGGTTAAAGTAGCCACTCAGGGCCGGATGAACAGTTCTCAGTGGGTGACAAGCTATTCCTTATCTCAGAGCATGGACGGAAGTATCTTTGAAGTATATCAGCAAAGTGGCGTTGCTAAGGTAAGGATTAGTGAGTAAGTGCAAGACGTTCAAGGAAACTTGCATGTTACATGGAATATAAATTTAACTGGCTTTTAGAGGTGCTTTTTCTGAAAGACCAGAGCAGTAAGTGTCTGTTCTCTTTAGTATGTCTTCTTTTTTTCCTCTATTGTCTATAAATTAATTTGATGTACGTATCGTCTATTCTTATTACGCACAACTATGCCCTGTAAAAGTGGTTAATCTCTTTTCGGCACAAAAGTGATGGGGCAAAGTAAGGGTACTTCTATCAAATGCGGTTTTGTAAACGGCATCACAATTATAATAATATAATATTTCCGCTTTGGGTGTCTTCTCTTGTTGCATTTGCAACCTGTTACGGTCAACTCTCGCCTTGCGGACAAAAATAATTTTCAGATATAAAAAACTCCCGAAATAAACTCCGATCCGCTATTACGCACACTCGCTAATGAGAACGCTGACTCCCCCACACAAGGTCCCTACAATGTCCGCTATGAATAGAGTTGACTTTATCACTTTGAATCGTATTGCGTGATTTGGTTGCTGTCCGTCCTTGGTCGTTGCTGTCATCCTTGAACGTTGATTGTAAATCCAACATTCATTACACATCGGAAATTCAATTTTCTTTCCACTCTAGCTAAGGGCAGGAGTGTTGTGCTAACTACCATAAAAGAGACGGCTTACCTGCCTACTTCAGTTACAGATGTAAGGTATATATGCAATATAGAAATTTAATTACTATTAAACTTCTTACTTACCAGATTTTTAATGGCAACACGGACCAGAATACGATCGTCTCTCACGTTCTCCATCCAGTCATCTTCACTCGCTTCATTCGGATTCTACCAAAGACCTGGTACCTTCATATATCAATGAGAGCAGAGTTCTACGAATGTGACGGTAGCTTAAGTTTAAGTTGCCTATTTATGGTCATTACTGTACCCTGTTTCTGACTGGCTTAGATCCCCAGGCTAGTCAATTTTGAAAAATAATGATTGTACGATTGAGCTCAGTTGTCCAACGACAAAAAAAAAGTTTGGTCAATTTGGTTCGGACAATTTCAGCAGTGTTTAGCAGGTTGGCTTAGGAGAGCGCAAAAATCAATGGCTAAAAGCAAAAATAAGTTACAGACACACTTAGTATGCATATTTTATTTTGAGCTTTTTAAGACTCTCGATGAATCATCGAATTAAATCAGTGATACCATTGTGTCATGTAGACCTCTGAGGGTATTGTCTAGCAAAGCCTTCCCTTTCCTGAAATATACTCCTCCTCATCCAATAAGTTGATGAACGTCCAGTCTCTTTGAGTGATGGCAGCACTTGGTATGCTCACAGCTTTCAAACAGCCTATGATTATATTTTAAATCACTATTTCAAGCTAGGAAGTAACAAACTTAGTATTAGTATCAGATTCAGCATCTGATTCTTTGATTAAGCATCGAGTCCCCTTTAATAAATTCCGCTACGGTATATTCCCTCTATACAAAATTGGCTTCGCTGATAAAATTGTTGAGTGACAAGACAATGGATTCCGTGAATACTGATAATTAAGTACCTTCCAACTGCGTAATAATAGGAGCTTTTCTCCACATCTTGTGATGGTTATTTTTATACTTACTATAGCTTTATAGGCTGACAATTCATTGGCTCTATGTAAATATCATTATTTTCTCTCCGAACCAATCGCATTTCGCCTAGGCTATGACGTTTTCGAGGTCGATGATCTGCTGGTGGATTCCAAATTTCTCTATACATTTGATGACGTCAGCGACATTAAGGACGTCCGTGGAGAAGTCTGGGCTCAAGTAAACGGATCGCTACTGACAGTGACTGGTGTTCGAGGAGGAGCAGTTAAAACTTTGGGTGATACAGGGACCATTCTGCTTTCCAACAACCCTTGGGGTAGATTAATATATATTACAGTAAACCAACATACCTTTAGCCTTTGGCTTTTGTATCAGTGCAGGGAAACTAATGCTGCACAGTCATTTTTTGCTGTTGGAAATCAAGAAAATGGAGGTAGGGGAGCGCATCTTTACCAAGAAGATGGAAGCAGAGAAGACCTCACTTTTAAATTAACTGGTCAATGGGAAAAGTGCTTCGTTACGTTTAGTGTTCCTCAACGAGTCTGGTCACACCTGGTATTTACTTGGACACAAATCGATCAAGTCAAGGTTTATCGTAACGGAAAGTTAGCCCCGAATATGGCAAAACATTGTGATAATGTCGGGGCTCCTAATGTGGACAATAAAGATATTAAATTAGGCTCCAGTAATCAGCTTCCATTGGCTTCATTTGATGATCTAAGTTACTGGAAAAAAGCTCTTAGTACGTTGCAGGTGGAGAAACTGTTCAGGTTTTACAAGGGTAAGTTCAGGGAGGTCATTTGCTAATTCTAATAGACAGTTAAGACAAATCCTTCTCTGTCCAATCTCAGCTGTTTCTTTTTTTTATAGCTTTTTATGTTTTATATTCTGCATTTTGATTTTTTTTTAATTTCAGTTGACTTTTTAAGCCTTAATCAAGCAATTACAAAATTGTCGCAACAGTTCTCGCAGCATATATCGAGAGATGTCAAAACCATGCTGGGTCAACCAATCGCAACTTTTACTATACTAAAATAGATATTAAATAAACAGTTAGAAGATAATTGTGTTATCATACAACACATCAAGTTTTAAATCTTGCAGGTCAAACGGCTTCAACCTTTTGGGGAAAATGAAAAAAGGTTTCCCTATGTTGTAACAAGGCTTAAACTCGTCAGTTAAGGTCTTGCAAAGTATCAACTGTCGACCAATTTTGTAAAAATGTCGAGAAAACGTTATGACTGTTTGTTCGGTTTTGACCGGGCTTTGGTAACTTCCCTGATCATCCAGGTAAAACTAGAAACTATAATATTACAGCATTCCACTTTTTCACTCTTGTACCTGACATATATTGGATTGGGCTGCCTTATGCCAAGGCAATATGAGTGGGCATTAAATACTGATTCTCTATTTTTTTCAATCTAAAGAGATCCACACTAACACGTAGAAAAAGGAATGACTCTGCAGTATAATATTGTTAAATTATTCCAGAATCGAAGTAATATGTCTCTTTTAAGTTTCTGTGTTACACTGCATTGTTAGGTGGTGCAAACCTCCATGTACACGTCAGTCTAGAGCTACCTAATGAGAAGTTTGATCCGGAACTGATGCGAAGTGAGTCGGAAGTGTTCCAGAACAAGATAGCCTTGCTTGAAAATCAGGTAATATTAAAACAAGAACGCTCTTAGTAGCGTTGAGTCTCGCCTGCTTGGAGCCGGATAAGATATGAATAAAAGAGGCGATTAGACCGCGAGCGGTCGTCCTTCTTTCCTCAGAGCCACTTGCGGCGAGCGAAAAAGTAAAATTATGCTCTCGACCTATTGTGACTCAAAAGAAAAATAAGAGACTGCTCGCAGTCTAGGAGGCGATTAATTCCACGTGAAACAGGATTTCCTGGCTAAAAGTGAATAAATGAAAATCAGGGAAACGTGATTCATTTGCATACGCCGTTCCAGAAAAGCTCGACATCTTTCACATCTTTTAGACTGGCTGAGATAAGAACTAGACGGATTTATAAAAGAGAAAAGGCGGCCTGCAAGCAGTCTACGCAGCTTTCTATTCTATGGACATGAAGTGCTGCAAGTAGAGTGCTTGACAGTCAAGTACAAAATTCCCCGTGTAAACACGTCCAAGACACATACGTAACTAACATCAGTTGCCTCTGGTGGTCGTTGAAGGTTAAATCCTTGATATCTCAAGTATTTATAAAATGCAACGCGATTTCACATCTTAACGTACAACTGCAAAAATCTAACAATTTAATACATACAACAAAGAATCTATTTGATCTGAGAAACGTGACGATACACCACAAAACTAGATTTCCCCGCTATAATATTTTCGTACATCCTACTTTATCGATAGTCGAGTATTCTTCAGGGTATTTACTTTTTAATACTCTTATATAATTACACAAAAAGGGCCTCGATTCGGGAAAATTACATCATTGCCAAACAGCCAAAAACGTGATCAACTTAATGCGTCATTTTAGTCATCGTCGAATGTAAACCGCATTCTCATCACGAGACTCATTTGCATACAATAAACGTCGTCACGATTGTTATCCCCAGTTTCCGCGGTCTCCGCTAGGAACGCCTGGGACTCTGACCTACCATTAGCGACGGACACACGAAAAGAAAAAAAAACGCCCACATTTTCTGAGTCTCGCTATAAAGGTGACTCTGGTGTGTTTTCCACCAACGTTTCTTCACCCACCTGGCCTGCCAGTGTGACGTCACATAGCAACAGGCAAGAGCCTCGGATCGCTTGTGCAAATTAGCAAGGGATACCACAGTCATTAGTAACAGCGAGGTCGAGGAAAGCTGAATAGCTAGCAAATATCGCTATATATTGCTAATTTGATCGTAGGTGTATGAGCTTTGTTTTTGCTTTTCTCTGCTTGTGTAAACCGTTTTGATATTTTGTGCCCATAATTGCATAATTTTGTTAATTTGTTTTGCGGGCCGTGTTGCAAAATCGGCATCTTTTTCACGGGACCGGCAAGGTCATCTCAACTTTTTCTCCATAATAGGCAAAGTCTAGTCTCCAGAATAGGAGGTTCCATTCACAAACGACACATGTTTATATTTCATCCGTTCTTTGGCTAATTAAACCGACCTAACTTCATATCAAACCGTTTCGAGTGTGGGCCTCTGTTGATTTCCTAATTCTCCACCAAATTCGTAAGTTAAGCTAGTTCGATCGATTATCTACTTCGATCGGCCCGTTGAACCCGAAATAATGCGAAATAGCTTTCAAATCTAGTTTTCTATGACAATAGGGATCTTAAAATCTACAGTGTCCCCACTTAGTGGTTATACACTGCTATTACAGTTTTGACACTTTAATAAAGGTATCATCATCATCATCATCACAGATCCAAGAAATTGGAACAGTATTTCCGTGATAAATTCGAAATTTTTATCGTCTCTTCGCGATCGATGAATACTTTGCTCGCCATTTTGCAAGTCAGTTACGCGAAACGTGACGTAATACTGGCAGGCGGACTGAACCGCCGATTTCCTTGGAGACACCTTACCACGTGGTTTATAGTATGTATTGAGGATAGTAAAGGGAAATTATCACAGATTATGAGATGTTAAGATAGTAAGCAGCATATCTATGTCATCGAATTCCCTTTATTCCTACAGATGAAAGCTCTTTATGAAGAAAGATTCGTTTCGAAAGTAGAAAATTTTCAATTCCGGTAAGTTGCAACAGACATTTTGTGCCTTTTATATTTCTGGAGTCAAATTCTATTGGTTGGAGCTCAAGGTTTAATTTGATCCTTTGATGCATAAGAGTTAGTATCTGATCATCTCGTAGCAGAACGACTAAATGACTTATTCCTTTGAGGAATCAGGGTGGGTTCTGACAGTCAGGGTATCCTGTGGTCGTTTGTGTGATAACTGTACCTTGAATCTACTTCACTGCTCCGAGGCGGGCGGTCAATGAACAAAAAGCTGAAAAAGAGGATGTATTTGACGATAAAGACAGGAGATGAACTAGGAATTAAGTCTGAGGTGAAATGATAAAAGACAAAGTTGACCATTTTGATAACAGGAAAATAGCAATACGTTCCAAGACATTTGATTGTCACTCACAATTCGGGACCACGAAACGAAATAAACAACATGGATCGAAATAAACCAATTACAACCCACAGACGCGACCTTCTGAATCCGCTGAATAAGGCCCTTGTTTCGTAAGAGCTGCTCATTGGCTCACACCAACTTTCTTGGTATATATACTGTTTTTAATTGCCAGTAATTCAATTGGTCAACTTTGTCAAAGTGGCCCCAGTTACAGCACTGTAATACCTGACAATTCGATCGAACGCTTGTACTTTGTCAAAGTAAATTGAGTAATCAATTTACTTTGTGTGTTTACTTTATTTGCTGTGTGAGGTTCAGGTTTAGTGGCCGTATTTCGTGAATTCAGAGACAGTGGCACAGCTTCTCTCACAAATCCGAAACCCTGATCCTTTCAGGAATATGACGCATGTTGCGGTCAACTTTACAGTGCAATTTCATGGGATTGGATACAAGATAATAGAACCACTCGAGACAAGCCTTGCGTCAAGAGGAATGCTGGGAAACATGCCTATAAGATTCGTTGAGATTGATTCTATAGACGGTAATTATGTCCCTATCATATAATCATCGTCCTTATTGCTATCAATGACACTGCAATGACTATGTTTCTCTTATAACTTTACGAAACGCAGCTTTGGAATAGAAAGGCTTACGGGCCCGAAAGATAGAGCTTCTACTTGTTCACAACTAAAAGATGTGCAGATAAACCTTGTTGTCGAGTCCATTAACTAGTCCAGCTACCAAACTAAATCCGGCGTTTTGCAAGTGGTCAACTGAGTTGCGCTAGTTGAGAAGTTTTAAGTTCCGAGTTGCCATGATTTTACTGGTTGTTTTTGCTGTTGTTGTATGATTCTTTCTTTTCTTTGCCCTTTTAAGTTAACGAGGTTCAGTCTGTCTATGTCAAAGTCAAAAGTTTTATGAATTTAACGCAGTTTCATTCTCTGAATAGATAAGATGCTTTATTTAAACGTCGATTTGTTCCAGCAAATTACCACTTCATTTTGTGTTTATGTGAAACATATTTACTCTTTGATGGAATATAGTACCTGGCGGTACCTCTGATCGGTCTTGCAATAGCGATTTGCATTACGCAACTCGCAACAGCAGCTTCAATTCGCAGCTCGCAACTCCGGATCAAAAGAGAAAAAAAAAAACAGTACTACCTTTAAAGAAACGTTCTAACCTAGCAGTAATACTAGATAATTAAAAATCATCTTCTATCTGTTTCTTTTATTGTTAAATAGTTTACACAAAGCAACTTCAAGTCAAAGCCTATAATACCAGCTCCACGTCTATAGCAGTATCCTGGACGGATCCTGGAAATCTAGCCCGTGGGATCTTTTGTGGAGTGGAGATTTTATATCATATAAGCAATTCAGAAGAGAAATTCAGAGTTATGAGCTCCTCTCTAGCATTAGAGTATGAACTTACAAGCCTGTTACCGTATACATGGTACGTCATTAGTGCCAGGCCCCACACGCTCAAAGGAGAAGGTAAAGAAAGTGAAGGAGTGTTTACAAGAACAGGAGAAGATGGTGAGTACACCTCTTTAATCATTTATGAACAACGAAAAAAAAAGGCAGATCTATCCGCTTCGATGACATAAATGAAGAGGCTATATGCTCATGATAATTTTCCGGGCTAAGATTTTTTTTTTGTGTTGCTCTAGAAGTGTGAATGACAAGCTCTAACGGACAATTTGGCCTCAAATAGCAAATTAAAAGCAGCAGAGTCAAAGATAGAAGCAGAGACACAATGATGTTCTGAATTACATTAACACCTTCGGAACTTACTTGACGTCACATGACGTCACGTCCGCCATATTGTTGTCCGAAAATAATGATACGGTGGCCATGTTGGTGTCCCAAACAGATACTGTGGAAGTTGAACCTTTACTTGTGTAAAAACGTTCTTCTTGTTCCAATAAATTTGCATAGCTGCTAGCGACGTGAGTTAAAATGCTTTTTAAACCTTTAGGCTATGAACAGCAACAACCCGAGATAGCACAAGTCGTTCACACACATCGAACATCGTGCAGGTGCAGTTGTCCGAGAGGGTTTGATGCATTGAAATCCAGTTCTCACTCCTGAATATATACTTCCCGTGACTTAGTAGGTTCCAGTCCACGCCCCAGCTTATTTACTTCCGCGAGGGTCCAAATAGGTTTTCACACAGCACGAAAGTAAGGCACAGAACTTATCCGATATGAGACGCTCCACTTTTGAGAAAGGCGCGGCACAGCTTCCCTCAATCACAGAAATCGTACCGAAATCACCGTTCTTGTGCGTGAACTGAAACCCTGTCTGGTATGATTTTTGTGCTGGTGCAAATGCTATCAGGTAATAGTGCCGGAACATAGCCTCAAATTAAGTCAAGTGTTGAGGTACCGCTGAACGTTGATACCAATGTCCATTTTAATCACTTGCTTAGGACCAGGTCCAACGATTAGAAATTCCAAAAGGGTAGGGATCGAGAAGGACAAAAGTCAATCGGATGATATGTAAACGCCCTTTCCTACGTTGCACTCCAGCGAGTAGACAAAACGAGATCGTGTCCTTGGCATTTTCAAAAGTTGATACATTGTTCACAGAAATGCCTGCCGAACAATCTATTAACAATGATGAATTTCAATGTTGGGATAAAAAGATACGTGCAGGGACACGTATTTTCTTTAAGTAAACTAACATCTACATAGCTTTAATTTACCCCCTTGGGTTTTTAAATGTACATCTGATGAGATCGGAATCCAAATCTAAAAAGAAATAACGTAAAACAAATAACCAAGTTTCGTTATCATACGTATTTGTAAACCCACATCTTTTTTTAGCAAGCGTTAATATATCCACGACGCCAGAGTGCGGAGTGGTTAAGTGTCCGTTGTTGTTGTTTCATCGTAACCCACTTCCTCAGCACCATTTACCATGTGTGCAAACGCAGCGGCTAGTTTACCATTTCTTTTTTAAAAAATTCGAGCTCTGCTAGAGGGCATGGTTGTAAAGATTGGATCGCCGTCTCGATCGTCCCAGTCGTTCGAAACTTCCGATAACATCCACACTTCCCGAGTGATTTTGTGGAAACCAACCTGTGTTCATTTCTCTGTCAAAGTTATGTATGCCGTCGCCGAGGTTCTCGTTTTTCTCCGAAGAGTTTTCATTTTCTCTGGCCGATAGGTAGCGAGTTTCTCCCTTCTAAAAAAAATCCACAATTTACTTCATCCCAGTTCGATCTAGAGCAAACGAAACCTCTTGACATAACATAACATTACAACTTTATTATTTATTAAGTGTCGATGTGTTTACATAAAACAAGCTAATTGGAGACACTAAATAGGAAGAGAAAAACAGTTATTAATAAGTAGTCTACAGTATTATAAGTAATGGTAACAGGACTGAGTGGAGTCCAATTCGGTCTGTAATCATAACTATAACAAAATTGTCAAATCTGATTGGCTCTCAACTGCCCTGATTTCAGCCTTAATTGGACAGTTTAATAGGACAGCACGCGTCATGCCTAAGTAATTGGACAGTACGCGCCATCACGCGCGCGCTTAAATGGCTTTTTTTTTCACTGCTAGCAAAACAGGATTTCGAATTTCTTGTGTTTTGGTTTAAAAAATAGCCTATTGTATCACAAATTTTGTTAAAGTTATGATTAATTGGTAACAGAACTTCGTGTCGTCCAATTCAGTCTGTAATCATACTCGTGATTAAACAAATCATATGATTACAGACCGAATTGGACTCCACTCAGTCCTGTTACCATTACTAATCATACGAGTGATTAACGACGATTAACAGACCGAATTGGACGACACGAAGTTCTGTTACCAATTAATCATAACTTCAACAAAATTTGTGATATAATAGGCTATTTTTTAAATCAAAACACAAGAAATTCGAAATTTTGTTTTGCTAGCAGTGAAAAAAAAAAGGCCATTTAAGCGCGCGCGTGATGGCGCGTACTGTCCAATTGCTTAGGCATGACGCGTACTGTCCTATTAAACTGTCCAATTAAGGCTGAAATCGGGCAGTTGATGGCCAATCAGATTTGACAATTTTGTTATGGTTATGATTAAAATGATAATAGTTATGATAAAATGTGCCACATGTGTACATAGATTATTGTAAATATCATGCAAAATATTATTATTTATTATTCATAAATTGAATTATTTACCGATTAATTTTTTCGGTTGTAGCTCCCACTTTACCTCCAGAAAATGTACACGCCATTCTTAACAAATCTGGGGTTATCATTGTGACCTGGCAACCAGTCCCCGTGCAGCATCGCCTTGGTGTGATGCAAGGATACAAAGTTATGTACACACCCCAAACTAGCAGCAATCCCATGCAGAAGACTGTAAGTACATACAATCTGTCGGTGGTGTTGCACGATTTGGAGATCAACACGCTGTATAGCATCACTGTAGCCGCGTACTCAAGAGTAGGTCAAGGACCATCAAGCCAGCCTGTTGTAGTACGAACTAAGGAAGATGGTAAGAGAGTAATCAAAAACTTGATACAACCGTTACTTTTTAATACAGACATTTAGTTTCGAGGACAAGGACGACTGTGAAAAATTTTGACTTGATTTTTTCGCGTATTCGTAAAATATAATATAGATCATACTCACCGGAAAGTTTCAATTTACTTTTTTACCAGAAAAAATAACACAGTGGTTTTGTGATATAGTGACTGATCAAAACAAAAAGTTTCATAAAAAGATGTAATGTTAGGAACCATGTTAGCGATCCCGCCCGAGTCTTCCACTCACACCTGGCGGGCATTTAGAAAATCGTTAAACCTTCACTTGTGTAGTCTCTCACTCTGAGCTTTTATTCAGTGAATTATTTTAACAGACAGGCTACTGAAAAAAAGGCATTATGGGGAGCGCAAAGGTGCTTTCCTTGATCCAACGGAAAATTCGATTATCAAAGTCTAATCATGGGCTAAAATTTATTCGCTTGTATTACTAATTCTTGTACAGTGTCAAGGTATATCCTCAAGATGTTGGGTTGGCTCACCTTGGCTCTAAGGAGAACTCTAAGGGGGTATAACCTCTTACAAGCTTTCTTAATAATGTAATCAACATGACAGTTCCACTTCAGGTCATTGTCCATAATAACTCCTAAGATCTAGTAGGTATTGGCACGCTTGATGACATTTCCGCCAATTATTATCGGATTAATGAGACAATTAGAGTTGCGTAGGAAATAAATATACATTTCTTTACACTTGGTTGGATTAAGTCTCATAATATGAGCAATGTCAAAATTGTGAATGTCTGAGGCCACTACGTTAAGTAAGCTAGGGGAGTTCCTTGGAATTATTTCGAGAGCACTGGTACCATCGACGTGAAATTCAGTCACCCTTCCAACTCAGTTCACTAGCGCAGTCCGGCCAGTTTTAGAGTATGCTGGACCAGTCTGGCAGAACATCCCTGCTTATCTGTCCGAAGCCATAGAGCGAGTGCAAAAAAGGGCGCTTAACATAATCTACTCTGAGGCAGAGTCATATGCTCATGCCTTACAGTTAGGTAAACTAGATAGGTTAGATGATAGAAGAGTACTCTTGTGCTACAAATATATGACGAAAATGAAGTCCCCCAGCCAACCTTTGCACCACCTACTTCCCAGCCCACTTCTGGACGCGCCTAACTACACCTTAAGGCAGAAAGCAGAAAAGTATTATCTTTTCCGGAACATGCAGGTCTGTAGGACAAAGAGAGTGGAGGACTTCTTTACATGTAAATTTTTCTAAGTGATTCAATTGTTAATTATTTTCATTGTTACAACTGTAAATTACTATACTCTAGATAATAGTTGCCTTATGATTGTAAAATGTACTCGATAATTCAGTTCTTTTTACTGCAAGAGAGTTAAATTAATAAACTATTCTTATTCTTATTATTTGATAAATTTAGCTTCTCACTCTCTCAGATCTTGCAGTTGATCCTGTAAATATCACCAACACCGTTCCAACTTCAACAAGCATAGGACTGAGCTGGGTGGCGCCAGACTCGTACAAGCTGGGTGAAGCTGTGTATCAATATCGAGTGGAAGTTGTCGATCTACTGAGACGAGAGAGAATCAATGTCACTGTCAATTCATCCAGTACAAGAATACAACTGGACTTTTTGAAACCGTTTACGAGTTATGAATTCAAAGTATACTGTTCAACAAGTTCATGGGAGGGAAATATCACTGACACGATCAGTTTAAAAACAGAGGAAGATGGTAAGTCTTGATAGGTAGAAAGTAGAAAAACGAGGTTTCTTCACTTATCTGAACGTCGCTAACTCAGTTTTGGCTCATTTTGTAAAATCTACCATGCATTTCACAACATAAACATAATGGCGATAAGAGCTGGCTATCATGTTTTGCATGCCAGTTACTGATCCTATACAACTAGAATACTTTTTCTCACAGAGATCTTTAAAAATCTTGTATCGATCCCTCAAAGATCTTTAGATAAGGATCTTCGAAGATCTTGATAATGACAGAACTCTTTGATCTTACCAAAGATCTTAACAAAAACAAAAAAGAGAATATAACCAAAGTTAATCCATGACTGTCCAAGTTTTGCTGTTTTCTTTTTTTTAGTTATTCGACTATTAATAGAAACCTATGTCCTTTACTTTCTATACCTTAGCTCCAAGTGAGTCTCCAAGAAACCTAACGGTGCAGTATTCGACTCCTTCCGCAACCACGCTGCAATGGAAACCAGTGCACAAATACTTCATCAACGGCAGACTTCGCGGATATAAAGTAAAATACAAAGAAACACTGAGTACGCCATTGAGTGATTGGAGCTTTATTGTTATCAATGCCAATGGTACTCAACAATCGCGAAACAAGCGAAGCGTTCAGGAGGAAGAAATAGTAAGCTTCAATCTTGAAGGTCTAAAGGCTTACACTTCCTATGCTGTCATAGTTTTGGCATTTACCATTAAAGATGGAGTACCAACGTTGGCAAAAAACTTCACCACAGCAGAAATGGGTAGGTTTTGTTGGGACTGACTGATCAATTGATAGGTCGATTTGACTGATTCGTGCTCAGTGAGTGAGCGAGTGCGTGAGTGATTGAGTGATAGTTAAATACAGTCAACTCTCGCCTTGTGGACACCCCGCTATAACGCACACCCCAATAATACGGACAGCAGCAAAAATAAACCTCACTAGTCTTATTTTCGCCATGCAGAAGGTTCTTTTTTGATTTCAATTTTGTTTCGCCTTCTGTGGTGTCTGTTTTCGATCTCAAAACATCTATTCCCTCGAATTTTATTATCAAGTTAAATTGTACAGTTTTTTGCATTTAAAGTTTGGGTTTTTTACATATCCAGTGCCTGACAAGTCCCCGACAAACGTCACAGCGTATGACACAAGCTCCACGAGCATTAACATCACTTGGCAGCCTATTCCATCTGATCACGTGAATGGGATTTTACTGGACTATAACGTGATATACCGCAGAATTGATAAACCTAACGACAACATCTCCATGTTTACTGTGAACAGCACCGTTTTACACACAGAACTTTCGGGATTAGGGAAATACAAGCAATATTCCATTCAGGTTGCTGGACGAACAGCTGCCGGTTTGGGGAACTTTTCTGAGCCTGTGTTTGTTCGCACCGAACAAGATGGTTCGTTTTACTTTACAGTGCAATTCAGTTGCTTTAAAATATGCCATTTTATCTAAGCATTTCTTTACTTTTTTGGTAAGCAAAAGTGGGGTGGGGACTCGGAGGACCACGATGCCTCCCATAAATATGATCCAGGTTCAAAACCCGGAGGAAATACCATAATATTGGCCCTTTTTTCATGCTAAAGCTAAATTTTATGTCTGGACAAACTTGCACCGGGTAAACATCTGTAGTTCGTTTGGTTATGTGTCTCTAATATATAAAGTCGCATTATGAGTCAAAGCGAACTTTAACTTTTCGAAGTGCGTCATTCAAGACGTATCACGAAGGATTCATAGTTCGTCTTTATATATGTGCCTGTCGTTATACTTTATACGCACAACCAGACGAACTACAAATGTTCACCCAGTTCGTTCAGACGGTTAATGCAACTTACAGATAAAAACGGCCATAGAAGCCTTATCCGTCGTTAGGATAATACGTCCTCTAGTATATAAACGGCCATTATATAAAAATGTTGTTTGAATTGTTGTTACCTCTATCTCCTCTTTGCTTTGAGAAGTTTCTCCCGGGTATTTTGAATTGGCATTCCTCTCCTTTCCTCTCTCCAATACAGCCCAAAATTTCCACGGAACTTTATTCCGGTCACGTTTAATGACAAACAAGCAGTAAGTGAATTTGTCAAGTGAACTGTTATAATTTTGCCTCATTTTGTATATTTTACCTTAGCTCCCGATGATCCGCCACAAAACATGCGTGCGATTGGAATCGAACCAACAGTCCTCAAAGCTTACTGGCTTCCAGTGTCCAACGAAACCATAAACGGCATTGGACTGGGCTACAAACTTTCTTTATTCACCACTGCGGGTACCATAATCAGGAATTACACTTTAAACGCTTCTGTGTTGTCGTTAGAGATCACTGGGTTGGATATATGGACCAACTATAGCATCAGAATGGCGGCGTTTACCATCGTAGGAGACGGACCATGGAGTGACTTAATGGTTGAAGACACCGATGAAGAAGGTCAGTCCGCCTTCACGTCCACAAGTTTAATTTCCATTCAAATTTTCTTTCAATAAGTTAGTAAAAATTTATTTTACTGAATTTGCAGTCGGTAGACTGAATTGCGCTCCTGGCATTTGGTACAGTTCCATTTAGCCTGCGTAGCTGGCGGTATTGAGTCGGTGCGCGATTAATTAAAAGGTTTTGGCGGCGGAGCCATGATCCAAAAAAGGGAGTGTGGACGAGGAAAAAGCTCATGAGTCAATTAAAATTTAGCCAATGCGTGGCGGAAGTCTAAAGGGGAGAAGGATGGAAGGAAAAGGAAGGGCGAATAGAAGGGAATGAAAGCGATATCCACTCCCTTTTCCCCTTTTTTGCGCCTGCCGCGCAGGCTAATTAAAATGCATCAAGTTTGTCCCTGTTACTTTTCATTCAAAATGACTATTCCTCATTCATTAAACATGCTCCGTCTTGTTTCATATCTAGTTCCTTACAAAGCTCCAGCTAACCCAACAGGAACGGCAACATCCTCAACCTCCATCTTCCTAAAATGGGATGCAGTTGATTTACCGAACATTCGGGGAATTCTGCGTGGTTACACAGTCTACTATGAAGAAGCCTGGAGCTCAGTCCACCCGAGCGTATTGCGAATCGTCACTGTGGATATATCTGTTACTGAAGTCCAACTTATCAACTTACACAAATATACCGAGTACCATATTTGGGTGACAGCTTTTACTACTAGACAAGGATTGAAGAGCATTTCCTTGTTTGTACGAACGTTGGAGGATAGTAAGATAAATTATTTTTTTTCTAAATTTTCCAGCGGGGTTGGGTGGTATGTTTTTTAAGCAGTGGTTCCACCTTTCTTAGGCTCTGCAACTGCTATAACGGCTGAGGCATTGTGCCTTTTTACGTGATGCCTGCCTGCCCCTTTCTAGTGTCGGATATTTTAACGTTGACGCCAGTCGTAAAATAAAAGCAGACTTCTTCAAAAATTAATCAACGCTTGCTCACTAAGACGAATCAGTTGTTATATTCAGCCAATCAGAAACGGATAAATTTTTTATATATAAAAAATAATATCATTAGTCTTCGGTGCCTTAAAAAAATGACCGGTATAAGCTTGAGGGTGAAAAATATATTAATGTGTCTCTATAGAACATACGTTTGTCTGTCGGTTAGGGCGTTTCTCGTCTTTCTTTCTGTTTTGCTAATTTGTTGCAGTCAGCCAGTTTGGCTGACAAGTATTATTTTCTTTTCCCCAGTCCCCGATCGTCCTCCTTTGTACATTACATACACTTCACCAACCTCCACCACCATTCTTCTCCACTGGAGTTCAGTTCTTGCGCAGTTTGCGAATGGCATCATAAGCGGTTTCAGAGTGGAGTACCAAGAAATCGGCCTGTCGAATTCCACGGTCAAGACCAGAGAGCGATTCCTCGTTAACTGGGTTCTTTTGGACGGACTTAAGAAGTTCACCGAATATTCTGTTCGAGTTTGCGCCTTTACGTCCGCGGGATATGGACCAGAAAACATCCTTACAGTTCTCACATCTCAAGATGGTAAGAAAACGTGAAAGCTTTAATGGTAATTACTACTACGGCAGAATAGAAAAGAAGTCGGCCCTCAGCTTAGAGTAGGAATACCAACACAGGAGTATTCAAGACACAAAGCCCCAATGGGCCCTTTGCAGCTAGTCATTAACACTCTGTACAAATCCCTATGTTAGAGACATAGTGACGAACTGGGACAAGAGAAAACAATAACTCACATTGTTTTAAATGGTAATTTACTTTATCATTTAATGCAATTTTTTCTTCCTTTCCTTCCTTGAGGGAGTTGTACAATATTAGCTAGACATTTCTAAAATTGTGTTTGACAATTTTTACAATTCTACGCTGTATGGAAACATTGTTTCAACAGGCTAAAGGCGTCAAGAAACTAATGAAAACCTTTTTTGAACCTAGTTCCCAGCAAACCCCCAAGTAGCATAAATGCCAAAGGTCACGTCTCCTTAACAACCATTCCCGTCAGTTGGCAACCAGTCGATCCTCAGCACATCAATGGAGTTTTGCTTGGTTACAAAATCAGGTACCAGGCTGTCGCATTTGGCCAGGAACCAGCTGAAGACCAGCCAGTCCTCGAAAAGAATGTTAGCACATCTGCTTTGACTGTTGTTTTAGAGAACCTTGATATATTTACTTTATATCGTGTGGATGTGCTGGGATACACAGTTATAGGAGAGGGACCAGCAGCTACGGATTATGCAGGTTTGCTTCAGTTAAATACTTATCGTAGCTATGCAAAATTTGCCTGGCAGGAATCGGTCATTGCACAGGAGCCAAGGACAATAAATTCGAAAAGAATACGCAATAATGAGAAATACACGTTGCGGTTAGGTGACATTTGATTCAGAACCTACTGGTTCGTTAAAAAAATAGAACCAATTTATATTTTTTCCATCTTAATTTGTTCTAAAACTAAATCCTGTCATATCGGTTACACTGGCTAAAAATAAAAAAAAATGGCATTATGTTAATAAGATGCTTGTTAGTGACGTCATCGACGATAATATACGTATTTGATTAAACTTAAATGAGATTCAACACTCGATAAAAGTGATTTATTTTATCCCCTCTGTACAACTTAACGTATTTCTCGGTACCACATGGAACAAAAAAACATTCTTTCATTCATTACCTCCAGTTGTAAACTTCATTGATTATTTCATTTTCAAAGCTGTGATCAGTCGATCAGTGACCGAGTATTGTTTGCGTAACCTGAACCTTTGTGTAAATCCTAATACAAATCAACTGGGTTGATGAACTATTAAGTGGTATAAAAAACTTTTGATACAGATAACTGTTCAGCTAATTAGTGTTCATTATTTTTATTCCGATATATACTCATAGGTTCCATTTCACAACTACGATGATATATTCCCGCCCGATCTATATGAGCTCCAAAGGCGACCTATTTAATCGCCCATACAGAAGTCCGCTCATGTTTTTCTGAGTACTTAAAAATGGCCTCTATTGCATACAATCTTTAAAAGAGATGATTAGGAAAAAACATTGTGCTTGCAAAAGTCAGTTGATTGTTTTTGAGTCGTTTGCTCATATAAGCTTTAAAGGCATTTTGTCACCCTTTCTTTTTGTCCCCATTATCATCTTACAAGAAGAACTGTTTTAATTATTGAGAGTCATAGATTAACACAAACTTTATATCTCATTTGCAGAGACCTGCCGTTGTTATAAGCGCCTCACTACGAGCTGGTATGAATTTCCACCTTATGTCCAAGTACAAGATGACAACATTTCAAGCGGGCTTATTCCACCAATCTTGAGCAAGCTAGCAGTCACATGTTGTCAAACCTGTCAATCTCATGGAAAGTCTTACGTGGATTTCAATTCCAATGGCCTGAATACGTCTGCACGACTTCGTGATTTGCGCACGTTCAAGTCTAGTATTGGTAACCCCACAGATTTTTTCTTTCCGATCTACGGATTTAAATATCAGATTCACTTTGCTAAAGAGTTTGGTTACCATGGTCTGGTTGAGTCACCTGGGATGGCGTACATTATCAATACAAACACCCAGGATGACGTACCCAATGCAGTGTTGAATAATATCATTTCCTGTTGGCCAGCCGTGACACTGTTTATAGTTATTACCTATTTATCAGGACTTCTTGTATGGGCAGTGGTAAGTCGATAGAGACTGTATTAAGAGATATATTTACTAGGTCAGTGTATTAGTTTTCTGAGTTACAAATAAAGAGCGTTGAAATGTTTTAGAAACGTCCTTGAGAAACACAAGAGGCAGGCGAGTGTTTCTTGGCCGAAAAAGTGTCCTTCAATTGAAGAAAAAGAACTTGTATTAGTTTTATTTTCTTTAACATTGGCGTGATTTAAAATGTTAAGTTTTATAAGCCACTTGCGCGGCGTCGGGCGCGTGATTGCGCAATTGTACTTGTGGGTGCGAAACTGGAGATTTCGTTGAGGAGAAACGGTTACCAGTTCTCCAAACCACTTCCCTTTGAGGAACAAAAGACGTGAAGACCCGACACGCGTTGTACGTTCAACTTAACGAGAGACTTAGCTGAAGATCCGATCTGGCGTATAAGTAGAAAGTTTGACTGGACCATACATTGGTCTACATTAGACGTAAAGATTTATACAGCTGCCCTAGGAGCCTATCAAATTTTGATGGGCTCCTGGCTGCCCCCTGGAATTGATCAGAGGTGAAGGATGAACGAACTTTCCTTAAATTACATCACGACAGGGAGAATAACTCTTCATTAGCTTCTTCCAGGCTTCAAGATCGTGGGAAAAGCGGATTGAAAGGAAAACCGTAAAAACCGCGTGGGGGGTTGGGAAAGAAGGGGAAGGGGTAGTGGGGCCTCCTCCCTTCTCTCTTCCCGCTCGTTGCTCCCCAGCTTTTTTCGCTCGTCAGCACTGACCGAAAGCCAAACGGAACCAAACATTTTCAAAAACTTTATGTAAATGGTAATCAGCCTCCTGTCTCTCTGAGTGTGGCTAGATTTATTTTACTTTTCCCTTGTTATTTCAAACAGGAGTCTCCGTGCAACCCACAAGACTTCCCTTCGTCATTTACTAAAGGAGTACCTGAAGGATTTTATTGGGCCTTTGTTTCCACGACAACCGTTGGGTAAGTGGCAGTCATGTTACAAGTTACGGAGATACGTATAATAATCCTGTTCACTGATAAAGCCTTTATTAGAGACGTTTATGTTGAAAGACGAGGACGAATGGGAGAACGAGATTTGACTAGTAATCTTAGTCGCCTTAGAATCTAATGGTCTCTAATGGTAACATAAGCTATAACGAATATTGAGTATAAGATTGGAGCTTGAGGGTTGTTTATAGTGAATATTGCACTTGACTTATCCAGCTAGTTTGCTCGACTCATACTTCTAAGCAAATCAGATCCAAATGGAGCATAACAGGATTGAAAACCCCAACTGACAGGAGGCAACCGGTTGGCAATTGACAAGCGTGGCCAAGGATTTGAACTCGAGACGAACGAGAACAAATCCAGAAAGTGGCCAGAGCGGGACTTTAACCAGGGACGTCTAACGAAGTGCGAGTCCAGCGCCCTGGCCACTCGGCCACGCTGCCCCCTGAGATTAGACAAAGAGACTAACGAAGTGTTTTCTTGCCAGGTATGGTGACCGCGCACCCATCTCTTTTATGGGAAAAATTGTTGCAATAGTTGTGATTCTGACTGGGTTGGTTCTCTTTAGTCTGGTGAATGGAATCTTAGCTACATCCATAACAAGTGTCGCTTTGGAAACAGACTACAAAATTTACGGTGCAAAGGTAAGAGACACGCCGACTATGGTTACGTGACTTTAACAAAGACTTATAATAGCTGTTCCATCAGCCTTGCCTTCAATTTGTAAGTGTTATTCTATATTGGGTATCCGATCTACACCAAGATCCGGCTTCCTTGAACCATTTTTGTCCAAGTGGTCGTTGTAAGAATTGTTCACTAACTTACAATTGAACCTGCTAAGGTTAGGGTTGAGGGGGGTAGGGTCAAGTATAATTAACATTTTTCATAGGAAAACCGCTATAGTTCACCAAAATAATAAAAATCGTTCGTTGGTGGAATAGCATAGTTTAGTGCATGATCTTTGGTCTTCACCTCAAGTTACGCACAATAAAGAAAAACGAAAAGGGAGAGTGAGATTTTATTTGTGTCAATTGATAGCAGAGGGGCTCTTTTTGGTGATTACTCTTTCATTCCATTTTTTTGAAGGTCGCAGCCATCGCGGAAACACCTGAATACAGAATGGGGGTTAGGAAAAATGCCAGAATGGACGGAGGTACTTCAATTTCAGTGCGGTAAAAAAAAAAAAAATGGTCTGTCCATTCGGTTTGTTTGAAAATCGTCTCTAATTATTTTGAGGGAAAATATTTACATGGACACAACATTTCACGCATTATTGTTTGTGATTCCAATTTACGGTAAATGCAATCCTCTTTCAATTCTGCTAAATAAAATAGAAATCGGCTGCTGAGACAGCGATGGGGACGATTAGGAGCGTCATTCAGTTCGTGTGCGAAAAACACGTACCAATAAATAAAAGCGCGAAATCTTCAACCAATCTTCAACCAATTAAAATGCAAGGTATTCTTTTACTGATTTCTTCCCGGTGTCTTCCTTTCAAGGCCTTTGACAATCGCACTCTGAATCCTAAATTTGTGTAATAAAATCTGTGATCATAATCTTAATCATAATCATAATCCTTAATCTTAATTCTATGTAATTATAATCATAATCATATAATGATTATCATTATAATTATTGTAATCAAGTGATATAAAGTCTGTAATCGTAATCTTTATTATGATAATCCTAAATATAATTAAAATCATAATCATAACCATGATCATCAATACGAACTGAAAGAGTTATTTTCAAAGGGTATATTATCGTTAAAACACCTAGAAACGAGACTTTACCAAGTTAAAATTTTTTCACTACTCTTTGTCCAGTCAAAAGGACCGGCAACAGCCAACAATACAGCCAACAAATCACCTGGCGGTTGTTTTAATCGACTTCGCTAATATTGTGTTTTGAAACTCTCTATTTTTTTGTCAACAAACAGAGTACAGCACTTTTGAGGATATCTTCACAGCTTTACACGAAAGAAAAGTTACTGGTGCTTTGATAGATACATACAGCGCCGGAAGTAGCAAGGATATGTTTGCTAAACACCATTTTAGAGTATATAAGGTTCTAGATTACTCTTCTACTTATGGAGTTGTTATGGGCGAAGGAGCCAGAAAACTTAGAAAATGTTTCAATGATTTAACTCAACATGTCTACGCTAGCGAGATTTCAGAGCACATTCAGAAGAACACGGAGCAGTTAAAGGTGATAATCCTGTTTCTTTGTTTTCTATGACGAGGCATCTAGCCGAACCAGGGCATTATAATACATGTTACAGTTCCGCTAAGCTCGCGTATAGAAACTTGATTGTCTGCACTGTTGCTGTGTAATCAATGTGCATTACAGTCAGTACATAATTTCTGCATTAAGCTTTGATCAGAAGAAATGAATTCGTTGTCAAAGAAATGAGGTGAAGTTAAAGGACGCCATGTTGCCCCACTTTTCACTAAATATTAAAAAGTTTTGATCTCACTCGGTACCTCTAGGGTTTTCTACGAGTTGCTCGGCAACTTTTTGGCAACTTCTCGTATTTCGAGCAACTCTTCACATTCTAAGCAATTTCTAGTTTTCTACCAAATCTGATATATCGGAGTAGCTTTTAGTGCTTAACTTGGCCTTTCTTCCATATTTCACAATGTTTTAGTGGACAATTTATGATTTTCTTGTTAAAAAGCAGCCAGATCCTCAACCCTGTCGGAGATAATGGACGGAAGATGCATGCTGCTGCCGGGCGGCTAGGATAGCGGTATTTTTTTAAGTAAACTCAAAATGGCGGTATGAATTGTTTTGCAGGAACCCGCCGATTCGCTGCCAGTAGAGAGATCCACAGGCCTCTTCGACAGTGACAGCTTTGTGTTTCAAAACACCTTGATCTTAACAAGTTCTCTATTAATATCGTGTCTGCTGCTAGGAATTATGCATGAAATAATACGATACACTAGATCAAGAGCAAAAATTAAGCCACATGGTAGGATTTTTGAGTCAAATTCTATTATTAAATTAAATTACGTTTCTTTTGATTTCCCTCCATGAAAGCATGCGTTAGGTAAAGCGCCCAATAACATCATCACATCACATGATCATGATCATTAATGATAATCATAATCATAATGTTATCATAATCATAATCATAATCATAATCATAATGTTATCATAATCATAATCATAATCATAATTGTAATCATAATCCTAATGAATAAAAATCTGACTTCTGGACACAGTAGGATACTTAAGAGCCGACCAAGTTCAGATAATTGGTCTTAGTGAAACACTCGGATAAAAATTAAACAATCGACCAAGAAGTGCAGATCTACCCCTGCATACCTCCCCTAAGTCATTTCTTGATAACTTCTCCTCGTCTGTTTGGGTAAGCCACGCAGCTCACTCCTACTTTACTTTAACTGATTTCTCTCTTAGAATCATGGCACACCTCTCTAAACGAGATGAAAGCAGTGGTTGAGAATTTTCATCAAAATATGGTACTAATCAAGAAAATGATCTCTTCAAGACATAAAAAGGAGAGGAAAGCGTTACTTTTGCTCCACCAAAAGGAACCAAAAAGAAAATATGAATCGATGGCGATAATTACAGAGGACCTCTTCACTAATTCACTTTCTGGAGAAGACGACGCGCATTGTTAACTACTTGGTACCAACCGATGCAGACAGTCACTAAAACGAAGGAAATTGCTCTTCAGCGAGCAGCCCTGCCTTGCTCCAGGATCCTTAATTTCATCTTTTACGTGGGGAAGGCCTATACTTGGAGGCTCCGCCCGAAAGTGGTACCTTTTGTTTTAGGCTTCAGGTATATTGAAGGGCAGGGTTTTCACTAGTTGAAGTACATGAAAGTGTAGGAAAATCTGTCATTTTAATCTGTAAAATGACCTTTGTGGCTCATTTATATTCTTTAAAAAGGGGATTTATACTGCACAGTTAAAAGGGATCCAAAGTTTGAAACTAGGTATGTCGAAGGGGTGGCATTTGTCAATGAAAGGTATACAAAATGGGAGCCATCACTGCCAAAAATGATATATAAAAGGGCAAGGGATTAGATCTTGCGGGAGAGCCTCCCCGTATAAAATTAACTTTGTTGAGTATGCCCCACCCCCCACCCCACGGTGACAAAAGGGACAATGGAAGCGTCATTGGCCATAGCACAAAACGCGCTGTTATATTCATCTTGGACCCAAGCTTTTGTCACTGAGGTCGTGATATTCCTCCAGAACCTTAAAAAATCGAGAAAAAGGATTTCAAAAGAAGGACATTTTTTTACTAGCCACGTGTTTTTTCTATCCGAATTTAAAATGATGTGAATAAACTGTCTTGCGCTGTTCTTTTCTAAATATCGCTAACCAGGAGCATGATGAGGTATTCTATTGAATGGACGAAACATGGTGTATTTTTACGTACTCTCAATTTTTCAAGAAACAGCAATTAGCAACGCTTGGCATTTCGATGTATCAAACATCATTATCAGCTCAACAATGTTTGGTTCGTCTCTACCCCCCGCGAAGATAGAGCTGTTTTTCTTCTACGGCCATGCATTTTAATTCTTAAAGTTGCAAAAAACTTTCGAGAAACTTTCTTTCGAGGCGTTGAATTAATTGGGGTTGAAGTGATGTAGTCACGTGAAACGTGACGTCATAATGATATTCATAAAGAAATTCAAAATGGGGTAGGAATGGTTGATTACAACTAAGTTTGAACCATGTGTAAATGTTTGATTTACCGTTCGATTTTTTTTTGCGTGGCCGGTACGGAGAGAATTTTTAATTTCTTAAAAAGGTATTAACGGGTGAAAAGTGTTATGTGACCTATTTTGCTTAATTGCTAATTAAATAAAAACGTGAGTCAATCATTCCGGAAAGATTCAAGCGAGAAATGATGATACAATAACAAAAACACTGTATTTAATATATACTGTGAGGCATCTCGCCAACCCATTTTTAGTTTTTTTTCTTTCCTGGACTCGATCATAAGTGGTCACGTGACACAGATATCTGATTTCTTACGTTACAGGAAAATTAAGGCTACCAATTATTTTTCCGAGGTTGCCAAATTTTGGAAGGTCCGAATAAATTTTCACATAGTTATGATCATTATGAGATTTTATGCAAATTAGCCTCAGGCCACGCCTTAACATGCTTAAGAGAAATACAGGTCATAAAAAGTACCGTAAAGTTCCGAAAGTACCGACCCTCGTTACTTTCGGATTTAGCAGCCTTTTTCTATCGCTAGTTTTGGAGAGGCTCGCTACTTTCAGGGGGTAGCTATTCAACCTCGTCCCCAGGGCGCTTTTCCCTGGCTTTGGGGACGTGGTTGGTAGCTATTTTTGGGTAGCTAAAACATGTATCGTACATGGGCCGCACGAAGCTACGACAATGATATCACATTTCCTAAATCAACGACAACAACTACTATAAATCAAATCATTTGTAAATATTATATTAAAAAAAAAAGATGTTTTAAGTTCCATTGTCTTGCTTTTTTGTTGTTGAGATATTAAATCGTAAATGCCTGGATGGTGTAGATTGCCAACTTGTGCCGAATTCTTTTTTTTCACAGTCCCCAAATAAAGGCTGCATTCCTCTGAGTAAGTGCAACGTTTATTCGAGGGAAGAGCTTATTTGTTATTCTACCCTGCGATCTGCGGAGTTTAAACTCAAGGGCGGCGAAACGAGTAAAAACGGTATAGTACCCTGAAACCCTTGCCGACCTTTAGATTTTACTTGAAAATAGTCCAATTTCGAATTCGTCAGGGCCGCTGATGAGAAGCACTGAAGACTCAATTATAAGGTAAAGTATTCACAAACACCGGCGAAAAGGTGCCTGAATTTGAGTTTAAAACAGTAGACTGTGAATATATTTACCTTGGGTCGAGGCTAACCCTGTATTAATTAACAATTAATGAATGAGGCTGAGTATCTTATGAAGAATTATGGAGAACGAGGAGGGTGTTATCCGTCAAGGCGGTCAGCCGAGGCGGATAACACAATTTGAGATCTCCATAATTCTTCATATGATACGAAAGCCGAATTCAATAATTGTTTTGTAATTCATTTAAAATAACTCATAGTTTAAAAACATAGCTAAAACAAGCTTACCTGCATGGATGTTAAGTTTATCTTCGATAGTTTACGTTTAGGTTTGTCCAGCTCCGCAAATATTCTCCAAATAGCAGATGTCGCCCTCCGAGTTGTCTTCTTGCTGTTTTTGCTATTATTACGCCTAGTTTCAGCTGTAGTTTTTACTCTTGAAACGACTGAAGCGTCCGCCATTTTTATTTTCACAACCAAAACAACTCAGCCTCGTTCCCACGGTGCCTTAACCTGTAAGAACGTTGCATTTTTTCATTTCCGCGTTAAAGTCAAAATTCTTCCAAATTTGGTTATCAGTAACTCGTTATGGTGAATTATACGTGTGCTTTTAGCAAATCAGAATTGGGGAATTATTTTGAATGAATAATAATGAGTCTTCAGTGCTTCCATTCAGCGACCGCGACGAACAACTCAAAACTGCACTATTACTGTTTCTACAAAAAGCAAAAACGCTTTTTTTATTTAAAAAAGTGTAATTTTGTTTTCCTGACAAAAACATTTGGAACTAAAACACCCGTAATACTACCACAGCTTTCTCTTCTTGCTCACTTGGGAATGCTTACTCAATCCTCTCATGCGCATGATCAACAAAGCACCGAGACAAATCATGACATTGAAGTTTTTAAAAAAGCGATAAACAGTCATTTCCCTGTATGTAGTGCAAAGCTCTTTAGAACCACTAATTTCCATACATCTTTGGTAGGACTATTGTTTTAGGGCTAGAGTCTGATTGTTACTGTTGTTTGTTCATTCAGTCCTGTGAGGCCTTGTAATAGCTGCGCATCGCCCCAAACTCCCGTCATAGTGGCATTAGTCGGTGTTTCAGTGAGATGGGCATCCCCATTCCACAAACCCTACTAGGGGCATCCCCTTAGATCTGGGTTAGGGTTACGGTCACTGGGGATGCCCATGTATATCACTGTGTCATCGGGACAGCGATCGAGTTAGCATCCTTATAGCAGAGCTCCACGCGTGGCGCCCCATAGCTAAGGAAGTGTGGTAATCTACCCATCCGAGAAAATTTGGTAATCACGTGACCGTACACCGAGCGAGCGAGCGACCGTCTGTCCGCACCACAGGCATAACAATGTAAAATAACTCAATCAACAGGTATGGCAACCCAAAAGCAACTCAAGGTTTAATTTGGAAGGAAATCACAAGGCCGCCCGGACAACAACAAAGTCGTGTCTTTTTCGGCGTTATTTTTTGTGTTTACACTAACGTGGATAACAGAGCACATGACGCACGATTTACGGACAGGTTTTCAGCGTAAGCTTTCTTGTAAGCCGCTTACAGGGCTTACAACCGAGCGGGGAACTGGGAACTAGCTGCACAGTGCGAGAAATCGTTGAAACGCTAAAGTGGAAGTTATTTCATAGTCGTTTGGATATCATTTTTTCAATACCAAGGGCCATATTGGAATGAAGCAGTTTGTTAAACATAGAAGCACCCTGCATAAAAGAGATAAGATTACAAACTAACGGTGAATTTGGAACTGCAGTCGTTATTCGCATGTTCACAAGTCAAATTCACATCGGCACTGCATGATCTTTGTCATGGTTAGTCTTTTAATTTCAGCTTGCTTTTAGACCTTTAGCTAGTAAGCTTATATTTTGTAAAATTTATGGCCTTTTGACAGCAGGGCTAAAACATTTTCGTGACTGCTGTTGAAGGTGTATCACGCTGTTGGAGGTGTATCACGGATTCCAGTTGTCAGTTGTTTGCACTTTGTTAATTCCTTGATTGTCTTTTCGTCCTATTAGAATATTATTTTGGGTCCCAAGACAGAAACACTCACTTTTAGAATTCCCAAGATAGATTAAAGAGCAATTATGTTCTAAGACATTTTTCTTGGTTCATTCTCAGACGAGTGTGAAAGCCTGTATTAAATGTTTTCCTTTGCTTTGGCCATATTATTTTTGTTGTGTGCATTGTTTTGATTTGTCGGGTTTTTTGGGTTTCAAGCTTTAAACATGTTACTTCTCAGGCTCACAGGTTTTCACTTTGAGATAACCTGGCCTTATACTCATGCTACAATGTAGCTGAAGCCTTAAGGTAATAGTTAATGTGCACAAGCTACAACATTATTTTCATGATTTTACTTCAATATTACAACTGAAGACAATAATAATTCTTTAATTTATTATTGTAATACCGTATAATGTAACTGTTTTATTTATCCATTTGATGCAATGTCAAACAATGCATACATGTTATAGTCTAAAATATCAAAACTAGAAAAAGAAAACCTATAAGGTGTTCTCAGATTCATGTGTAATTATACCAATATTATAAGCTGTTTGGTTTATTGTTTATTTGATTTGCATTCTACCCCACACCAATTAACACAATGCTGCAAAATTTGTCTTATGGCATTTCTTGATTAATTATACTTAAAGGGTGTTTCATTGTTCCAATAAGCTTACATTGAATGATACAGGGACTGTTTTGACTTCTTTGACATAATTTGAGGCAGAACTCCTCTCCAACCCTTACTCATGCAACTTCAATTTCAAATCTTGGCTGTCTGTATCTTACCCAACT